TTGTAAAATAAGATTTAAATATTTCCTTTTTTGTTTCGATTTTAATGTTATTTACTCATTGATTATACATTCATTTTCTGTTCTTTCTGGACATTTGGCAATTTCTAAGCGCTTCTGAATTTCTAAAGCAAAAATTTTCATGGAACTTCATCAAGTTACTTCTCAAGTCTAGTACACTGACTACCTGGATACAAGTAGCTTTAAAAATATATGGAAACAGGTCGAGACGTCCAACTACAACCCATCCTTGCTTCTTCATCACGTTGCTGTGCGGAAACGATGTTCAAATCCCCATTTAGCTACACAACTACCATGTTCACATGAGAGGAACTATACGATTGATTGTACATGCGTGTAGCCTAGGGCCTACAGAGTTATTGTACAAAATGTTGTAGCTCTCAATGTATGAACAGAGGAGCTGGGGCTGAGAGGAAGGAAAACATATGGTATGATCATTTTGAACTCTCCATCACACGTGAATGGTGTCTCTGTTGACACCTATGCCTTGTTGGGGTAGGGGGTCCCTGGCTCTCTGGCAGGCACTGAGGCAGGCTTGCAGGCAAGGCTCCACAGCTACTGTGAGAGAAGTTTAAAGGGACTTGTCAACATGGTCGGCTCACACATATACCCTACTATCAGTCAATCGGGCCTCATTGATCATACAATATTGTCTAATGATACAACCCTAATTGAGATACAGAGACATATTAGCACAGATCAGCTGCAGATTTAAGCTGGAAATTATGTGAAACCTTACTCAGGATGGGCTTACTTTTAGCGGGGACCCACCCCCTGGCTTTAGTGTGATTGTGCTCCCTAACAACATAATTGAAATAGACCGGCAACGTCAATGTTGAGCCTACGAATGTGCCTAATGTAGTGTGTGTAGGCCTATGTCTCCAAAAGTCAGACTCTTGTGCTTATTGTAAACTTTCCTTCTTGGATACGCCCTAACGATTTAAAAAAGAGCCTTAACCTATATATTGTTCCATTATGTTGGGGAATTCCAAAACCTGATTATGTCAGTGCATTACATGCTAAAAATCAAGGGAAGCCTGCTTCAAAATAAAATGAATATATATCATGAGTATAGGCCCTTCACTGTCTTCCAAGTCCCTGGTTTAGTGTACAATAGAGAACATTTCATTTTCCATCTTTAAAAAAATCATTATTTAGGAAACCGAAGCCTACATGTACATGTATTCATTGCTTTCATTTTATGAAATTGTCAGTTCGCATTGGTCTTCCTATCACCATCTGTTAATGATAATCCAACTTCAACCCAATCTGTGTCCCCTTTAATTCAATCCTACCCAGCCTTTAGAAGAAAAAAAGACAGGACAGTTCAATCTGAATGGATTTGCCCTCGGGGTCAATATAAGGTCAATCAGAACCTAGAGAAGCAGGGTTTTCTCATCAAATAGCAAGGAAACGGGCAAAAAGTGATGACTTTACCTTGCTTGTCTGGGGTCTGGGGTGGGCTGGGACGACAAGTAAACGCATTGACATGGTAGGAGAGCAGGAGATGGGGGTGCTAATTGGACTGGAAAACCCCTAAATTGATTGCTTCCACTCCAGAAAGCAGGTTTGACAGTACTTTTTTTTCTCCAGCTACTACTAGCGGAGACAAGAGGTTTTGGTACTCTCTCTGACTCTGGAGTCTGGTGACAATTTCTCCAGGTTTTATTTCAACACAGGGTTAACGGAATAGGGATATGGTTTTCATTTGATGTTAGGTAAGGGTTTTGGGTTGGTATAAGAATAAGGTATAGGTTTTGTCCCAGTATTATAGTTTGGAAATCAGTTAGTCAAGGATATTGACAGAGGTAAAATTGTTGCCAAAGCATTTGTGGTAAAACAAATGTTCTGCATCGTAGTGTAGAAAATGGGGTTTCCATATAGCTTTTATTTAGCTAAACTTGTCTTACAGCAGCCTAAATTGGTTTTGATGAGCAATAGTATATAGGACCTTTTATTTCTATGGTTCTGAAAAGGCTTCCCACCCAGTAGTTCCCACATTCCCGATTTCACTTGGACAAAAAGTTAACACACAAAGGTAATAAAATCTAATTGTGCCATTGGGTATCCTACCATTTGTACAATGTTGAAGTTGAAAATGAAAGTAAAAGTATGCTTACTGAACGTCACAATAGGCATATTGTAACATTTACAATCAATAGAGTTTACATGTGAAGTGAATTTATAGATTATCTGTGGGGCACATGCCATAAAGATCGACCCCCCAAAGAGAAGAATGGAGCTCACAAAACTTTAAAGTGTAAACTGTAACCTTGTAAAAGTTAGTCCCAATTCACTCCAGATTCCTTCAATTCAGGTTCAAAGTATTGAATTGAAGAAATATCACACTATTGAAGGCTACACTGAAGTCAATATTACATGTTTTTCACTATTCTATATTTGTATCTCAAGTTTATTTAAAGTTTTTTTCTTCTTCTTTCTTTCATGTGTGCATGTTGTTATTATTTTGTTATGCATTAGTTTCACAGGTTGATTTTATTGTTGCAGAGGGGGGAGGGGGAGGGGGTGAGGCAATATAATTAATTTTGAAATCTTGAAACAGATTCCATTACAAGCATAAGAGATAGGGATGGGGATGTGGTTGCCAGTGGTAACCACTCAAAGACTGACATGAAGAACAGTTGCAGGGCTAAATGGGAGACCAACTCTTCTCAGTCCTCTGGTGACACATGTATCACCAGAGTCCAACTTTTGCTGGGAGGAGTATAAGGACGAGGACACTCTACCAAGACATGGACCTCTATATGACCTCTCGCTTATCCTTAGGTCCATGCCGAGATTGACCTGGTCTTATATTTTCACCCTCAAGCCAGAGGTCAAAGGTTAAACTAGGTCTGGGACACTTTGAAAGTTGTAAACATCTTGCTCTTGCACTTTCCCCCAGGTTGATCACCCCCACACACCACCGGTGCAGGGTGCTGGTAACCATGGCAAGCGCAGTCCGGTCTAGCCCTTACAGTTAGTTGAGTGTACAGTTGTGTGTGCCACTTTGACATGAAACAGTGATGAAAATACAAAGTACCGAGTTACATCCAAGGAGTTCAAGGAGGTACGATTATATTGGTCACATATACAACACCTTTGTCTCTGTAGTTTTGAAGACATCTTTTTTTCACTAGCATGTTGGCCTATATGTGGGCCTACATATTACTTCTCCTACTTTTGTTTGCTGTAGGACCTACATGTAAAGACTTCACAATCTGATAGTAAAAACTCGATATTTTTAAGATTACTTTCACACTTTGTTTTTTCTATTTAAACTTGTTATCTTGTAGAGCACAATACATGATTTATCTCAGAAATATAAAGCCAAAAGTAGGAAATCTTCTCAAATAAGGGGACAAATATCAGTTCATACTATTCCATAATGCATCTGACTTGTGTATCTACAAATTATACAATGTACATGTATCTCTCATACATGTACAATATCAACAACAAGTACTGCTTAAAGAGACATTCCCTTGATTATTTCCTTGTCTTGCCTAACAGCCTGTGAGCCTGAGCCCCCCACCCCCCCCCACCTCCTTTTTTTTTTTAGACACCTCGCATTGTACTCCTATAACACAGAGGAGTTTTTTATTAGCTCTGCATGTACAGTCCTTCCCTCAGTTTGCATTATAACGCCTTTGTTGATCCTCATTAATCCATTTAAGTTAACCACAAGTTACCCATTTAAAAGACCAACCTAACTTGTATACAACAGGCTCATTCACATTGCAGATTTTTTTGTTGTGAAAAACCCATCAACTTTATTTAAACTACCCCTTACACAACTGGAAAACCCATAAAAGAATATCATTGTTTAATAATTCTGTTTTTTGGAAGAGTTTTCTGTACCACTATGTGCCACTTGTGACTACTTTAATGGCATGAAAGTGAGGGAAGTCAAGTAACCGAAATCCAGAATAATCAACCGTTTTTTGAGAGAGAGCATTTACACTGCAAAAAACTGGTGGATTTTTCGCACATCAGCCTGCGTTTCAAAATGCTACACTCCAGGCACGGCCTATGACTTGGGTATTTCATCAAAACCTTTGGTTGCAGTGTGAATGCACCTACGGGGGTGTATTGGACTAACGATTGCTGTTTATATGGAAAAGAAACTTCTTAACTTGATATAAAGATAAGCAGATCCTATAAATAGTACAAGCTATATTTACATTGAACTGTTGTAAATAAGGACATTTACAACTTGTCTCCCATCTACCACTATTTAAACTGTTCCTTGATTTACTACTCTGTATTTTAAAGGAGTATGCAAGTAATTGAAATGTAGAAAAGTCATGTTCCTAATCATATTTTACAAAAACAATCAGCTGCATCATTTTCTTCATCACTACTAGAATCCTCATTATCATCACCATCATCACCACAATTTTCAAGTAGTACATTCATCAGAGTATCATCTTGATGGTCGAGTAGTTTTGGGCATCATTATGAATTTATGATGCCAATTTCATGGTATAATCATTATTTGATTGACAGAGACTCAAAATCATGAAGGTTGTGTTTTAAAAAATACACCATCAGATTCATCCACATGATCTTTAGCAATATCATCAAACCTCCCCTTCTCATCATCATCCATGACCTTCATCTAGAACCTCATCAGCATCATCATTACCATTATCCTGGCTGGCATCACCATCACCACCATCATCATCATCCTCACCATCATCATCATCACCACCACCATCATCATCACCACCATCATCATCATCATCATCACCACCACCACCATTATCACCACCACCGTCATCATCATCACCACCATCATCATTATTATTATATAGACCATCAATGTCATTATTCTCTTCTATACTATTAATACTATCAACATCATCACTCACTAGTCTTGTAGCAATTATCAAACAAGTCAGTTTCCAAACTTGGGAGGGGACAGGGAGTTGTGTGGGTTGTAAAATGAACATCCCAAACTTTTTTTTCTTTCAACTTACTCCAGGAAATATTTTTGTCCAGTTGGTGTGACGGCCATCTCCCAGCCGCTCGGCAGGTTTGGGTTATCAGTATCAGATATATCGTAGCTCTGTTGACGAAGATGCTGATTCCGTATCACATCTTGAGGGTTTATGTTCCTCATCTCCTGTAGCGAAGCCGGAGATGAGTGCGCTCTGCTGTGGGCGATCGTCATCCCCTGCGGGCCCAAGCTCCGACTGGCAATTTCATGGCTAGCGTTCGACATATTTCCAGAGTAATTCGTCGAATCTGCGCTCGACTCCCTCGAATGGCTTATTCTTGGTTCTTGAAAGAAAGAGGCGGGCATGTTTCTCTTTCGCCATGGCACTTGCGATGGAACTTTATCGGCTGCCTCGGGCGTGTTCAAAACATTGCGAAACAAATCGTCCAACTCTGCTCCCGAGTCCCCTCGTACGTGCACGACAGCATTCTGTTTTCTTCCTCCTGCCGGCTCCATTTTCTTTCCGCTTTTCTCACCGAATTTCTCACTAATTCCTTGACTCCAGAATCCCCTTTTCGCTTAGCATATAATAAAATGAACTTCTAGATGGTGACAGTATCAGCAATCGCGTAAAATATAAGTTTTATACCAGTTAACTATCATCGCCGCATCTTTACACCATGTACCTCAATGCCATTCCGATACACAACTTCTCGCACAGAGTATCCGGTTGCACACGGCGTATTTCACCTGTACGGTCTCGTAAGTTAGTTCGCCTCGTATACTTTTCCGCTGTGGTAGAGTACACAGCTGAGTACCCATACACCAAAGCCCGACCTTGCATGCAAATTATTGGTCCCTATTAAGACCACATCACTACCGGGGTTTTAACTATCTTAAACAAGATAGATCCTTATTTTTAGTTCATTAACCCGACTAAATGAAATTTAACGAAGATAATAAAGACTAGTGAAAACTTCTTTTACATAAATTATCAATGACATTCAATGCTTTCATGTCGATATTGAAGGAATAATATTCTTTTACAAATCTTCCAAAATCCATCCGCGCGTGGTCTTGCCTCTATCAGGGGGTATAGTTCGGGCCCTTTACAATCCTTCTTTTGGTCAAAGGCCGACTTTTGTATGTTATTATTGCTTACGTCACAGAAAAGGGTGTGGCCTACGCCGGAAGATTATTGTCTGGCATAAAAGAGAGGTTTTAGGAAAACCTTGAACGAGCATTTTCTCCGAACTGTTTCTCATTGCGGGATATGCCGAACCCCCATTCATTTGTTGCTATGCGGCGATGGATGATATTAAAAAGAGCAATCAGATAATAACGAGCCTATGCCTTGATTTATGATTTTCGATTTTGTAAGACGGGAGCACAGCACTTAGAACGAACTCATCGCGGGCATTGACCTGCATATTAGTTATTCTGAGTTCGATTTTGAATTGTTAGGGATTCCTTTTGTCAATAGGGGTGTTATAATAGGGGGCAAGATTCCCTATCGCTAATGACGGGGGTCAGGGAGGGGGTAACGATTGAACCATGTTTCTTGGCTTTTGAGAAGGGATTAGTTTCTTGCAGATATGGAATAGATGTATACATAGGTGCATCCACTTTTGCTCATAAGGGTTATGAAAAGGAATTTCGAGGGTCGTTTTGTAAGCACAACCCATGGGTATTATGTGAGACGAACTATTGTTTAATTGATTTGCGCTTTATAATAGAGGTTCGAAGAAGCAACTCTTTGATGATTTCCGCTATTGGCCTATATTACATGTATTGATTGAAAGAGAACATCCCCCTGAAAAATGATAACAATACTTATTATAAGAAATAGATAGAGCAACCATTTTTTATTTAAAAAATTGCTTGATATACGTTAAAAAGCCACAGTTATATCAAAAACCGTGTATTTCGTTTATCTTAAGAAGCTATCTTGGTTTTAGTGATGAGAGAGCAATATACTGGGGGGGGGGGGTATGAAATCCAAAAGAACAAACACGAGTTATGAGGAACGGCATCTAAGGGCGTCGTATACTTTTCGCATTTTCGCGTTGTCCCCTCCCCATTCTCCCTTTATTTTACCCCACCTCTCTCTCTCTCTCTCTCTCTCTCTCTCTCTCTCTCTCTCTCTCTCTCTCTCTATATATATATATATATATATCTGTCTATCTCAGCCTTGTCTTTCTATTTTGTTTATGAGCTTCCGAAACTATACGATGCATATTTTGTTACGTCTAAAAAGTAAGAATTGCATTTTCATCTGATTTAAAAATAGATACCGTCTATACATATAATACGATATTACAAATATGCAACAGTATTTTGTTTAAAGGTCCACATTTACTACGAGGCTACCAAAGAATTTGTATAGATTTATATCATGTATAATACTTATTTTCTTCTTTGTTTTTATGTTACTGCCATGACTTTATAGTTATGATTGTTACCATAACAGGGCCTCGTGAAAAACCACCACTATTGGTGAAAATGTGCTACCCTGTATAAATGTCAGAAATACACAAATGAATTTAAACAGGCAGTACAATCATCACATCAAAAAAGTGTTTTTTTTTTTTTTTTTTACATATTTTTTTTCATGCCGTAACTTTTTGAAATCTGGATCAGGAATCCTGTAATTTATCCTGAAAAGCGTCAATTCTGTTTATATAACTTGATATACTGTATACTTCAATCCTATTCAATTCAATGTATTGTGCCTTCTGTACTGTTATATATGAAGTTGTGTTCTAATTTGGCGCGAGTCCAGAAAGATTATTAGTGTTTGCTTATTAAACAATCATGAAAAGGTTAATCATCCGGGCACTTAGGGGAAGATTGATTTCGAAGTGTAAAATAAATCACAACTGATTCCTTTGATGAGACTATAGTGGGATTTCAAGCGATAAGACAAAAATTGGGAAAATATCAGTCGATTTGTTGGAAACTTCACAGGATTGTTACGCCCCCCCCCCCCCCGGGGGCCCCCACAGTCTGAAAGCAGGTACTCAATAAAAAACCTTGACGACTAGCAATGGTTCGTTTAAGATTAAACTTTAAAAAAAAGCAGAAACACGAAGTTGCAAACCATCCAGAGACTCCTCATAAATTGCGTTACTGACTAATTAATTATATCATAACAAATCTTTATTCTCAGTTTTCTTATGTACAACTGATTTTCTTATAAAACTAAAGATATTGCGTATATATTCAATACTGAATGAACGCCATTGAACTATTACCAACAACAACAACAATGGTTTGTGCCTGCACCCCCCCCCCCCTCGATTTGAGGAGTATTCCGCATTCGTGATTATGAATTTATTGATCACTACTGTCTACAATATGAGACTATACATAGCCACTGTACATTAGCTGCTCTTGCACACAGTCAAATTCTGACTTTAGCTATAGGTTTTGCTCAAGGCGTTAGGAAATATGGTAAAGACGTGTCAAATTATAGCAATGTGCCTTTACTGCAGACTATAGTGCTTGGTGGAGTGGCGAGCAATATGCACCTATCTATTTTTACTTTTTTCTTCTTTATTTTTGGTTTGCTTAGCAACAATTCGAGTGAAAACTTAGGGGACAATACATAGGGTTCATTCGAGGGGCAACTATTGATACACGTATTTATTTTGATGCTCTTTTTGTATACATTTTCCCTTACATTGTCCGAATGCCATTGTAGCGTGAGCATCTTATTATGTGATATAACCTTTTTACCTCAAAACTACGAAAAATCATGACTTGTGTTATGTTTTATATAGACTTACAGCTTTGACAAATATAATAGGCCTAGTTTCTTTTAGTTGTCGTTATCGTCATTAATGTTATTTAAATTTCATCATTATAAGTTTCATCATTATCATCATCAGTATTTTTGTCAAACATCAAACATCAAATGGTGTAATAAGAATAGGCAAGCCCTCGTATACGGTATATGCTTCTACGAAGCTTGGGCCAAAAGAGCCAGCAATATTTAGTCCTCGACTATTATTTCGTCATCGTTCTGTGTGTAGGCCTACATGTGAGATTTTGTTTACTCTTTTTAATCAGATTACGCAGATAGAAGAGTCTGTTATCTGTCTTTGAATAGTTTTTTTGTTGACAAAATTTCGTTGAATTCGTTATATATTGTCTTTTCCTGAAGAAAATGAACATGAAATGCAGCATTTGTTTAGCTACTTCAATCAATCAAATTCGAAATTCACAGTTAGAAAAGGAACATGCCTCATTTTCATCAATTCATTCTATAACTACGGATGCCCTTTACCTCAACCAGTCAACCAATATCCACCCAGAACCTCTTGTAAAAATAATTCTGAAAGGTATGGTAATTTACCGACATCGTTACCATTGCTGTATTGTGTTTTCAACTGCGCCATCATTCGGTGAAGGCGTTGGCCTACATATTGAGCAATTTCCGATTCCTGTACTTTCCTGTACCCACGCAAGCATCTTCTTGGTGGTGTATTGTGGGACATGGATGTCGACACATCGGGACATTGCAAGCAGCAGACGACAGTAAACGTAATTATGAAGAATAGTCATTAGAATACCCTGCCTTTAAATCTTCCAGTACCCTGGCCACTACTGCAATAGTAAACATGTTGTGGCTGTTGTTTTTGTTGGCCGTGTTGGCATGTTGGTATTGTTCTGCCGTGTAGCTGTTAAAGGAGACTTAGGTGAAATATTTTAGAATGGTCTTTAACTATTGAAAATATATTTTCTTCTATTCTCAATTTGTGCTTAGATAAATTCTGAAATGTTGAAAAGGAACAAAGTAATCGGAAACATAAAGCAAAATAACTATCACTTTGTGTGTTAAAGTTGAATTTCCGTTCTTATGTCTACTTTCCTTAATCTGCTTTCTGCTTTTCCATTTCAAAGCCATTAACGCGATGTAAATCACCAATATAACCACCAACAATAATTCTTTCCGAAATCAGTGGTGTTTGTTTTGCCACCCACACAACACATTGAACTAATGCTTCTTGTTGTCATTTGAATAGCACTAACAAAATATATCTTCAAGCAAATGATTTTATGATTCGGTTACGAGGTAATCACCCGTATATTTGTCCAATTTTCTTTTATGGGGCGTGGCAATGTTCTTATTCTGTAGAAACATTTACTATAGAAACGTGATAAATCTCCTCCCATTATGCATATCAAAGACTGTCGTTAAGCGGTTATGTTGTTGATGAGAGTCTTTTGTATATTAGTCTTTTGAGTGATGACAATTGTATATGGCAGAGTTATTTATTGACAATGACCTGCAAAGTGATGTAAAATTAGTCGTAAGATGATTATCCAAAAGGTAATTTTTCTTATCGATTGATTATTAAAATCGGAAATGGTATTAATTTCACATTTCTATCAAAATTAGTGATAGATCAGGGAGTTCTGTTCATGCTGTCTAGAGGCTAATTTTTCATGTTGGTAAAAAAAAAATTGAAAACAAACAAACGTAGGATAATCCTTCTTATTTTTGATTGCGTCAGACTCTCTCATGTCTCAAAATGAATATCCAAAAGCTTTTCGATGAAACTGGGGTTTAGAGAGAGAGAGAGAGAGAGAGAGGGGGGGGGGGGGGAGGACTCTGAGAGTAAAGAATGAAATAGAGGTTTAAAGTGATAATGAGAGAGCAAAATGAGGAAGATCTTTGTAATGTACCAGAGAGAGTGAGAGAGAGAGAGAGAGAGAGAGAGAGAGAGAGAGAGAGAGAGTGAGAGAGAGAGGGAGAGAGGGAGAGAGAGAGAGAGAGAGAGAGAGGGGGGGGGGGGGGGTTGTATCTTAAGTATTGACAAATAGTGAACTAGATATTCCAGTGAGGCAAAATGGTCCTGTTGATAATATATCGCTTCACAATGCAAAGGTGTTGGGTTCTATAAAATTCCCAGCTACTCCTTTTTCCTATATTTTATAATAATTTTAAAGTACATAATATTCAAATTGTCAATTTCGTTTTGAAATAGGGCACCCAAAAGCAGAGGCAGAGTGAGAGAAAGTTATTTCTATCATTTCTCTTTGTCAAGTGACTCTCTGAATAAGGAAGAACATAAAAACTCCTAATTTTTTTCATCACGAAATCTACATTGACTCGAACGATAACAGAGAGGAAAATTATAGATATCAACTGTGCGGCAGTGTAGTCTAGTGGACAGGCAGGCAATCACGTCGTAATTGGAAGGTATTGGGTTCGATACCCAGCCAGTGCGTGATTTTGTTCCTTATATTTTTGTAATCTCGCAAAAATAGACTGATTTTCAACTCCTGGGGGGTGGGGGTGGGGTGGGGGTGGGGGGGGGGAGGAGAGGACATTTTTTTTTTTGGGGGGGGGGGGGGGGACACGTTAATTTTTTAATTTTACATTTTGCTCCGTTGGAGGGGGGGAGGGGGTAAGGTCACCTTTTTAGGTCAGCCATTGGCAATTTTTTTTTTTTTTTGGGGGGGGGGGGGCGGGGGGGGGGGGCTCGCCCCTGTTTTTCAGTATATTTTTAGGCGAATTTAGGGCTGATTTTAACATATTTTTTTTGGCCGCGAGGGGGGGGGGGGGGCACGTGCCCCCTTTGCCCCCCCCCCCTGGATCCGCCACTGAACAACATTTGTATTTCTTTACTTTGGCCAGTTATATCATAATCATTGTTGTGGTTGAATTAAAGGAAAGGGGATTAAGGCACAGTATGTCAATGAATTAAAAAAAAAAAAAAAAAAAACAACAGGGGCCTATGGCGGAGGGGAGGGGAGGGGGGGGGGGGGGCTTGGTAGTGTAGAAAAAACATATCGGGAAGTCTTGGGGAGGTCACACTTAGAATAAAATGAGCCCTTTTTAAGGATACAGGCTGGAGCTGACCCCCGACAATAAAAAAAACCAGTTCGATACAAGCAACGCGATTGCTCTTTGCTTAGGCCACTAGTCTCTGCTCAGGCGTATAGTTACACTTGCCATCCCACGATATGAATCGACACCAGCCTCACATGCACCCCCCCCCCCCATCCCCCATCCCCCCCCCCCCCCCCCCCTCCCCCGAACAACCTCTATGCTGGATATGCCGCTGATCTGTATCGAAATTGTTTTTCTACAATCTCATCTCTCTTTGATGGTTGGATAGATAACAAAGACAGATGACGTATTTTGATGATGGGGGAAAAAATATAAAAATGAAGATAAAAAGACAATCGGAAGTGCTCGGAGAAGCCCTCTTTGAAAATTAATAGAGCGTTCAGTCACAAATGGTCAACCAAAATGATCTGTAAATTGAGCATAACAGTACCGATAATTACTCGTTTAATCTATTCTCTATTTTTTGGTATCAATAATTTATTTGCATACGACAGCAAAATAAAGGATAGGCCTAGGCGATTTTCATAACCTGAAATTGTCGGAATTAGGTCGAGTCAGGGCCAGTGGCGTAGGAGAGAAACAAAATAGGGGGAGGGGGGGGGGGGGAACAGTGGGAAATTAAATGTGAAAAGAAGTTGCTAATAAGACTTCTCAATCCTGCACCCTTACCAATCAACTGTCTTGTTTTTGTTTATTAACGATTTTTGGTATCTCAATTGCGGATCTATGATGAGCCGATATCGTCTTTGTTTAGGAGCTTCCGAAACTATAATTATGAGCTATTTTAAAAAAGTAAAAATATCTAACAAAATAACGATCTTCACCCGATTAAAAAACAGCCTTATCTGTTTTTACATGTAATTCGATATTACAAATATGCAACAGTCTTTTGTTGAAAAGTCCATATATCAAAGAACTTGTATTCATACTTATTTTCTTCTGTTTTATTATGTTACTGACTACTGTTATGGTTGTTGGATGTTTCCTTACTGTGCCTACGAGCTGAGAACAATGACGGTGAGGGCGCTATAGCACTATAAAAAAAGCATCGTCAGTGCTCGTTTTCGCTTGACCAGTTGCTGTTAAAACTGTTGTTCTTCTCGGTTGCATCGTGTTTTTTTTCTTTCATTCTTTCCTTCTTCGTGCTTTTTGTTTGTTTATTTTGTAAAACTTCAGTATTCGTTTTGTATTCGTTATATTTGTACTAGTCAGGATATTTGTACCAACCTTCCCACACGCCATGTCAGCATTAATAATAATACTCAGTTTTTATATAGCGCTTATTACAATCAGCGCTTCTGAAACTTGGAGATTATTATTACCCCGGCTTTAGCTGTCCTGCCATTGCGGCACTCTAGCATTTCAACGAATTAATTATTGACAGGGACCCATTTACATCACCTGGGTTGAGTGTGGCAAATGTAGCATACCAGATATACACAACTTCACATATTAAAATGGCGCCAGTATTTTCGATGATTAATACCCTGAAACCAAAAAGGAAACAGAAGCGTCGACATTAATAATTCCAACCCCCCCCCCCCCCCCAAAAAAAAAGGAAGAATGAAAAATGAACTAAACAAACGAGAAAGTGGCCCAACTAAGAGATAAAGAAAAAAAGACAAAATCGCAAAACGACTTTTAGTATACAAAGTTCATATAATTTCACTTGTGACAAGCAAAATACGACGACCATTCACCGATCACGTTTCATTCATTGTGTCTGTTTTTTTGTTTTTCTTCAAATTAAGGTGACTCGGTAAAATTGTTGAGGATTTTTGAAAAAACTGCGTAATTTTTGTGTGAAATTTTACTTATCATATTCTTTCTATTATTGTACTAACTCTCTAACATGCAAAAAGCCCTGAAAAAATTCTCAAACCACAAAGATATTTATGTTTTTCTTTGAAGGCGTCACTGTGCGCAACCCTTTAACAGAAAGTTTTCCCAACCGATTTCCATGAAATTAAGACATAAGACAGGCTTTTAAAAATCTTTCAACACTTGAATGTCTGGAATGGTATATAGAGCCAATTCATTGCTTTGTGACGATTTTCATTCACCTAAAATGTAATTAAATTTTGATAGTGTAGTTGAGAGAATTAAGGAATCAATCAGATCAGTTTTTCCCAATTATTGTTATCATTAATAATGGTCTGTTTTCCCTAAAAGTTTGAGAATATCTTTAATTGTACATTTAGCATTGAAGTCACTATATTAGCACCATTTTTTTCATCTGAACAATGTTACCAAGTCCCTTTAATTAAGGCAAAAAAGAGATTCCATGACATTTGCTCCGGCGACAATTGCTCCGCTGTAAATTTCATACACTAATCGAATGGCTAACTTCAACCCTGGATTCAACACTATACCCTACCCTAAACCTAAACCTAAACCTAACATAAAACCCTATTGAAACCCTAACCCTAACCCTACATCTTAGACGAAATAAAGCCCGGAGCAATTGTCGCGGGAGCAAATGTCGTGTCACCAAAAAAGACTACAGAGCTACATTTATAAACATACACAGTGGCGTACGTATAGGGGGAACAGGCCTGGGGCACCCGACCCGCCTTTGATCAAAGAGAGAAAGAGAGAAGAAGGAAAAAGGAGAGGGAAGACATCATGAACAGACAATGATAGGACGCTCTTCCACGTCCCCCCCCCCAAACTCGGTGGACTTGTTTTCAAGCATTTCATCTATTTAGTATTCCTTTTGCCCCCCCCCCCCTCCCCCGCGGCACCAGCACCCCTCCCTCAATGGCTCAATCAATGATACACCACTGTCCAAGGGCGGATCTAGGGGGGGGGGGGGGGGGGGGGGTCGGTGGTTTATCCCCCCTTGTGCGATCAAGGAAAAAAAAAAGGGAAAAAAAAGGGAAAAAAAAGTAAAACAGTAAAACGGCGCGATTTTTGGCGCGAATCCTGGATCCGCCACTGGGTCAAACCCCATGCCCTCCGCAAAAAGCTAGATCCGCCCCTGCTGTCTATATCCAAACCGCGAGCTGAAACACCCACTTTAATTCATCGGCTGCTTCACGAACTAGAGCGCATCAGAAGCCATCCATTCGTTTCATTTTCTTTTGTTTTGTGTTTATTCATCTGCTTATTTACCATAGTATTTTCCCAAACATATTATGAATGAATGATTTTTGGACAGTGGTGACTTTGTTGACTAACATTGACCCGTAGGTGCAACTCTTTTCCGGTTACCAATCAAATTGTTAGAATCAACAACAGCAATCAAATTATCTAAAACAAAAAAGCAAGCAATCAAAGAAACAAAATAAAAGTCATCGTAGGAGATGCAACAGATTTGGGCATGTATATTTAATTACTCGCTTTTAAATGTGCGAACGGGTTAAGATCTGAGAAACTATATCGAAAGGAATATGAATTACGGTACTGCATATGGAAGCAGATGGAGAAAGAGAGAGAGAGAGAGAGAGAGAGAGAGAGAGAGAGAGAGAGAGAGAGAGAGAGAGAGAGAGAGAGAGAGAGAGAGAGAGAGAGAGAGAGAGGGGGGGGGGGGGAAGAAGGGCGGCACATTTCCGCCATTACAAATGGTTTATCAACGCAAATAAGATCCAATATTGTCTTCACATCACAATCAAAATAACTACCAAAAAAAAATGAGAATGTTTATTTTAAATGTTTTATTCATAAGCCTGAAAAATAAGAACCAAACTCTTTGATGAAACTGATGAAACAATGTGATATTCCTTTTTAATTCATGGAATATGATTGACAATTGTAAGTAATATACAATTAAACATGTAACTTACACTAAATGTTTAACCAAGATACAAATGTAATCGTTTTGATCAAATGTAACAAAACTTTTAACGGAAATAAGCAAACACAAATTTAAAAAATTGATGCTCCGAGTCGCTCTTGAGCACTCTGACCCTGTAAGTATTATTTGCAATGACTAACTTTAAATTCCTTACTCCACTGTTAATTTGTATTATTAGGTGGTAAATTTGACATATTAAACAAAGATATTGATGCTCTTTCTCTGAGTCGCTCTTGAGTAGGCCTACTATGACCGTGTAAGTATTTATTTGCAATGGCTCACATAAACATTCCCAACTTTATATTCAATTTGTATAATTAGGTGGTAAAATGGTCATATTTAACAAAGATTTTGAGATTTAACTTGTGGTAGTGATGTGGAAAATGAAACCTGTGAAAGATTAGGCTATTATACGTGAAGCCTTGCAAGCAAGGAGCAATCCTGTCCAAATTGTTGCACTAATGCCCTATTTTTTCTGCAGTTGTGGCAGCCCAGCAAATTAATGTGGCAATTAGCATTCATGGCAATACAATACTGACCAATGTGTAAAATGTTTGAGTAGAACATATATCACCTAAAATTGTGTTTTTACAAAATAATGATTAAAACATCCGTTTCAATTACAGGAGAAAATGATGCATGCTTATTATAGCTTTGAGAAGATTTTTACTGTGTAAAAAAAAGGCCACTTGGGAAATATATATAATCATCATGATTATTCAAGTTCATTTCTCACATTTCTCAATCATGTATAATTAATAATATTTACATCTCTCAGATCTCATCTAAATATTAGTGTTGTCATTCATCTAATCCATGATTACTGAAGAATATTTGATATGCACACTCTATTCAGAAATAGGATTCTAATGATCATTGACTTATAAATACATTTTTATGAATCACTGAGATTGCTTAGGATTTTATTCTCAAAATCTCAAGCATAAAAAACATGTTGGTGTCCTAGAAGAAGAACAAATCTCACGTTTAAGTTCTCCAACATAATTATATGTTTACGATCAAATCTGCCAACAGGAAAGCTGTTTATAAGTGGAAAAAAGAGAGAAGTAACACTGAAACGCTGAACAAAAACCTTTTTGTTCCTCAAATATTACTCACGAAAAGGTCTTTTATGGTCAATATATTCATGATAATTGCATGATAAAAATCAGAAGTAGAATGAATGAAAAAAGGTGAAGTATTATGTGAAACTGAAACCATGAACAGAACGGTTAAACATTGAAGAAAAAAAGACAAATTATAGAGCAACAAAAAACTTAAACTAAAACAGAAAAACGCCTTGAACATGTAAATGTTACTTGACATTAAAAATACATTGCATAAAAACATTTGTTTACAATGTTTGCAAAGTTTATAAAATATTGTACTTTGAAAGGATAACTTAGAATTAACAGTAAAAAAAAAAGGTGACAAACTAGCACTTAAACCATGAACAGAATAGAAGTTAAAGATGAATGTCCAAAATAATAAAAAAACGCTCAGTCTATCAATGACTGTTTGCTCATTTTCTACCAATAGCTGTTAGCATCTTTATCACTACTTAAATTCTCCAATTATGTAAAGGTGATCAACAAATGACATAAAAGTTCATGATAAAGTATTTTCAGTCTTTACTGCTTACATCAATTTTTTTTACTTTGATCCTAACACGGCTTCTCATGAGTTCTTGAATGGTTGATATGGACACTGAAATCCTGGTCGAATCTTCATCATGATATTGCTGATCCGGAACGCAAATGCTGTTAACGATACAGGATGAGCTAGATGACGGCGAGGTGAAAGCAGGCTCTTCTTCTTTGAGATCAAAGATACAAGTTGCTTCAGATTCAAGCTTGATCTTTTTGGTTGAGGGTAAGCGCTGTCTTGGTTCCTCTATCAGAGGAGGTGGTAGATTCTTGTTCCCAACATGACCTGTCCCAAAATTGATCAGTTCTGTTTCCAGAGACAGTGTGGGGAGAGAAGTATCCTTCATCTCTGACAGATGATGTGGTGTGCCCAGAGAAGTCTGTTCAGATTTAGGGCTACTTTGGCTCTCCTGCATCATAAGAAAGTCCTCCTTGAATTCCAGCTCCTGGTTGCTGTTTGCTGGAGTCCCCTCTTGTTTAAGTTCCTTTACAGTCAGAATCGCTCTTCGTGGCACTTTCTGGTCTGCTGCAAAGGACTCTGTCATGTTTGCATTATCAGCAGTGACCATTTGGTGCTCAGAGTTGGGGATGGTCTGTGATATCCCTTTTACAGAAGGTCCTTCAACAGTTTCTGTATCCTGGTCTGATGTGTCTGTCCAAACTCTCCTATCTGACAGAGGATCATCATGGTCATTCATCGCTTGGCACTTTGGACACCAATATGTGATCCTCTCCATACCAGTGGGGCCAAACATCGATTTTGTTGTCTCGTGACCTTTTGGACACATGGCCTTTTTGTAGATCTCTGTCCAGTCACCAAACTTGCTTGAGGGCTTCTCTTCCATCTTCCAAGCCAGCCATCTCTTTGTGAAAGTCACCACCTTTTCAACGATGACTGTAGCCTTGGCTCTAGACAGCTGACACCCCAACTGCATTGGATGGGTTCCTGTGCTGAACAAGACTTCATCCTTGATAATATTACCAAGCCCGGCGAATTTCTTCTGATCTAACAAAATAAACGAGATTGGAAGATCTCCCAGAATGCAATCTTCTGCCCTGGATCTATTAAAACCATCGCTCAGGATATCTCTTCTGCTCTCGTCCTCCGGAGGGTGGTTCATCTCCTGGAAGCTCCCGCCGTAGAACACCAAGAACTCCTCCTTGCTGAAGTAAAAGATAAGTCTCGGCTCAGGAAACTTGTTGGTCTTCGATGATTTGCAGTTGAATTCATTGACCCTGACACTCCCCCACATCAAGAAATGACATCTGATCCACACCGATTCTTCATCGGAATCTTCCGACTCCGATTCAGCTGTAGACACTCTCTTGTGTACGAGGTGCAAGAAGAGTCGTTTGCCGTACACCCTTACATCTTCAAGGCTAGCCCCACTCCATTTCTTCTTATCCACTGTCTTTGATGATCCACAGATTCGTGTTGTCTTCCGACCAAGAAACTGTTTGGTCATGGTACACCATTTGAACAATGAAGGTCCCTCAGGCATTATGATGCTGTGCCCTCTACAGTCCAGAAATCTGCTGGATAGCAAATTGAAAAGGCCATGTTTAAGCTCTTTGCATTTAAACTAAATAATTATGACATCATTACATACAAAGTAACTGTAGGCCTATGCCTTTGAATTATTTATATAATTCGCCAAAATGTAAAAAAGATGAAGTTTCAACAAAATATTGTTGATACCCGAAATCACACGCAATTGTCAGTTATGTCAGCTAGGATCTTAATAAAATTCTTAAGAATACACTAAAATATGCCTCCCAAAAAACTAAAAAAAATAACATTTGTGTTCTCGGGCTTCCTGAGTTTTCATGTTTTGTTTAGTTTAGTTTTCTATTTCATTGTTTTGATCTGGTTGTTACATTATTTTCATACAATGCCCCCCTCCCCCAACCTCATCCGGCCACAAAACCCGAATCAGCCAACGTTTTGGGTAGACGTCTGACTCCAATGATCGACACCGAAATGTCAGACATTTTTTTTTTTCTTTCCATGTTCATTTCTTCGTTCGATAAATACTACATCAAAATTGAAGGATGTATGGCTCATCGGCTTAATATCATTCATGCCAAGAAAATCTTACCTTGAAAATATTGGGGTTGGATCTGGTTTGATCCAAATCTACAGCATTCTCCGGATAGTCCAACGTCCCTCACAACGTTTTATACATCCAGTACATGCACGCAGTACCGGCTAGCAAAATGACGGCATTGCATTCGATCTTACCAGAGATCGGGGAATCAGGTTCGTGGGCGTGGCACTTCTAAGTGGGCGTGGCATCTTGACAGAGGGATCGCTATCCCTGTTAATTTTGTTGGGGAATTTTCAAGGAAAATAATGATGTTTTATACCCTCGGTATAAGTCATTAGTTCCGAACTGTCTTCAATTGCTTACTTTATTTCTTCCTCATATTCTATCTAGGTCTAATGGGGCATCAGTGAAAGGGTGAAATATTTTTTTTCTTGTCAAAATGATATCGAACTCGCGAGATTTCAAAGTTTAAATTTGAATTTAGAAGAGTTTATATCAAAATTTTTCTCTGAGAGGCTATTTGCAATCTACCCCATTCACCTATTATGATATTGTTCAGTAGTCAGAATTCTGGTTGCATTCAGTGTCGTTACTAGTAATCTAAACAAGGCACGCATAAAACTTGAATACACCTGTGAACTGTTCTATTGTACAGAAATAACTTCATTTAGGAATGTCCAATCGACTATTTTCTAATGCAATTTTTTTCATCGTGTCTAAAAGAACAAGAAGTTGACAACATGAATGCCTTTTCACATTCTTTGTCTCATGTAGACTGAGGGGTAAAATACAGCGTCCATCTTACAGCTAAGATTTTAATTAACCAAGAAATTGGTCATGGGTCAATAATTATTTATGATTTATACCAAATTTTAGCAGCGAAAATGTGAAGTGTGACCTTTTCAGCTTTACACTCTGATTATCTGATCAGAATTGACAAGAATATTTTTGTGTAAATTTTAGTTTTATCTCTATTTTACTAAGACAAAAGTTTGATATAATTATGAAGTGCTGAATGTATGCCTTTTCTATTCATACAAAGCACTATATTTCTATGAGAAAAAAATTAATAAAAACAGAATGTCACCATGAAATGATTTTTATTTCATTTTATGATCATTTATAAATCTAATTCCACATTTATAGTAATTAGAAAAGGTGACGCTTGGCCTTCCGTACATCAGTGGAACACTGAGAAGGCAATCCAGCCCTTGTAATATTACGAAACAGAATGGATAATATTTGAAATAAATTGAGCCAAAGATAAGAGAGTTATAAATGTTTGAAATATGAGATCACTATAGCTATGCAAATTTCAAATTGGTAATTTTGTCAGTGGACAACTCCTGTTTTTTCGCATACAAAATATAATTAATTTCCCATTTTCTCCCAAATGCCTTCTCCATTGGGGCAATACCCAAGATATATTATGGAATATAGATAACACATTATTATAGGCCCTCTATAAAGAAAGATCATCCTGAGTCATACATTTTGAAAAATCGACATTTTTAGTAATTTTGGGTGTTGAAGCAAATGTGAAAGTTGTCCCGCACTACATCACTGAGACACTACTGATTCAGCCAATTTGAAGTTCCCATTATTATAGCGCTTAAAACTTCCAGAAAGTAAAATATATTCTGATTTTTTTTCTTTCCTTAAGAGCAGATGTCTATCAAAGATTTTCCTTTAAGCCAATATTATTGTTTTTTTTTTCCTATTCATTATAATTTCTTTGCCTTTGAAAGGAATTTCAGTCTAAGCTATATGATATATGAAAATATAAATCGAAAACAAAATCAATAAGGACTGCATGAGAGAAACAATTGTGAGTTTATTTCAAAATGTCTACTTTTTTTTTATTTGTACAACACTTAACCTTCCTTAAAAAGAAAGAAACATACAATAATCATAAATGACTACATAACATATAATCCTTCATTTGCATGCTAGTAATTAAATATCAACATATGATGAATATACAATCAAATTCTTTTAGTCTTGTTTCTCTCTCGTTGTTATAATATGTGCTACAACTCCCACACATATTGTATATCTGGAAAAAATTGGAAAGAGACCAAAAAAAAAATCAAATCAAACGTACATGAAATAGTGATACTAAGTACATAATATATAACATCTGCGGGGCACTTAATGGCAGTAGAGTTATCATAATCTTTGAAATGGTTAGAGCATAAAAGGAGTGTCTACATCTACGATCTGAAACAACAATAGAACATCTTTTTATTTGGGGGAGGGGCACACACAGATAGTATTTACCATCACCTAAAACTGCAAAATTCATTGAGAAAAATCATCCAAAACATTGGATTGGGACAAGACTAATGGGCAGATATAATGGTTGATCATTTAAACAATGATGCATCATTTCTTGAATTAAATGATATAGATTAAGGATTAAATCAAATTTTTTCCTTTAGCTCCCCATGAAGTCTTTCACTAATGTCCTTTATAATATAAACAATTTCAAAGTGCAGTGAGCAATATCTATCACCTGATCTTCATAATAATTCCATAGGAATATTTATGCTGTTTACACAATCTTACTTCTGAATGTGGTAACCAATAGGTTTTATATATTTATAGTGCAAATAAAGATTTGATAAAATGCTTATAATCATTTAAAGATCTTGCTTAGTCCCACACCATTGGGTTGAATGTCCTTTATTCTGTTTTAGTTTGTTTGTATATCCAACACTTTAACAGTCACATATATCCCAAGAAATAAACAAGCATATCCGCCCAAAATGTAATTCGGTTAGAAAAAAAAAGACATGAAATAAGATAAGACCCATTTTTTGTGGTAGAGAAATATAAAATATAAAACAAAATGAGTGCTTGCTTGCTTGCTTGTATAAAGTCTTGAGTAACTGATCTAATGGTGAACGCTCATTTTCAAGTATCTACAGCAAATGAAAGCTAGTTTTCCACAAATGATAGCAATCTGGACAGCAGAAAAGATCATATCCCAAGTAAGGTATTCAAACCAGAGTTCTATGAGAAGCAAAAGGCCTTCACGTGAATAAAGTTTGAACAATCATAACACATTTCTTCTGTAATTACTTTAATCAGAACAACCCCCACTCCCCCCCCCCAAAAAAAAATAACAACAAAATAAAGAGGAACTTCAGTATGCTCTTTCTAGTATGTAAGGTGCTAAAAAATACAGTAATTTACTTGATTAGCGATGTACTCATTTTGTGTCATTTCTTTAGAAGATAAACAACGACATAGATCATTTTTAACCAACTGACTCCTGATTTATTCTCATTCCCATAGGCTCGAATGCAGGAGCCACACAGCTCCCATAGGAAAATGGGTTTATCATGCATGTGATCAAAATATACAATCCATGTACATGTACTATCAGAGCATATTACGATTCTCCATGAGTGTGGATACAAGCAATTATGATCATTAAACAATAATTCAAAATGTTTGAAAGCCATGAGACTATTATAGCACCATTTTATGCTTTCTGTGACCATATGAGGGTAGGTATACACACTGACACAGAAGGAGTGGGGTATATATATACATGTATGATGTATGTTGAGAGATCTTGAAAAATTATTTTACACCGATTGCAAAAAATGAGAGTTTCAGTAGAAAAAACAAAGGGGCGGGGCTACACTCACAAGGGAGCAATGCATTAATTACATGGATGCAGATTTGTAGAAATGTTCATAGTATTTTTGTCCATACACACACGTTGCCCTTGTTAAATGAAATATTACAGACAAAATCATACAAGTGATTTATACAATTATCAATTTGGAACATGCTAACATTGGCATGGGACATCAAATTTGAATGATACACAAATCTTGTTCACTGTATGACAGTGTCACTATTAGAAATCTAAAGAAGTACAAAATTCATGATAGGCCTTTCTTTTATACAAATTGGGGCATGAACGCAAGAGATATGATTGAGAGAGAGAGAGAGAAAGAGAAAGGGGGAGGGGCAAGAGAAAAAAGGAAATAGAGGGAGAAAGAAAGAAACGATGGGTGTGTGGGTCAAGAAAGAATGCAAAAAAGTGAGAAATGAAAAGAGACGGATAGAGAGCAAGAAAAGAGAATGAGATAAACATATAAAGAAAGGGGGAAACACTCTTGCAAAAAGTTGCCATCAACTTATAAAAAACTGTGACTGGAAACAAAATGAATCTTACTCATGATCGATATTTGGTCCACATAAAGATTGTATCACACATCATGATACGTGTACGTTTACATGTCTTCACTTTGCTATTTTCAAAATCATCATCTAGTAATAAAGTACAAAAAACTTAAACATAAGTCAATCCATCCATAATCTTTTAAGGGTCTAGTACAGAAACTACAGATAATCCCCCTAAAACAATTTCATCACATTTGGGCTTTGATTTTGATGAGGTCAGAGGTCATGACCTCAAATATTAAAGCTACAAGATTTTGTATAAAAGAAGCAAGAGAATGGTTGGTAATAATAACTATGAAATTTAATTCAATTCTAATACATCATGGGACTTTGCACACAAATGTATTAATTCATCTCCATTTCTTTGTTAGCTGCGTCAATCAATTTACTACAGTGAAATCAGGCATAGTCACAAGTGAGTATACTGTATATACTTAGGCATAATATATATATATTTACTAATATATCTTTTTTTTTTCTTCTTGCAAAATGGCAATACAAAAACAACACTACGGAGAGAAATTTCAATATCATGAGTTTCATATTATCTTCTCCTTTTTGATAAAAAATGCAATTATTCACTTCACTTCAACAGGCCGTTTGCAAAAAACTATATCTGTGGAGAAAATGGGAAAGAAAAACATAAGACCTCAAAAAACGACGAAAATATATGTCTAATGTCTGATGAAATAAGCATGGGCCTCCTCAGGAACGTATACTCAGGTAGGGGAAGGTAATATATGCCCCCCATGAGCAGAGCGGGTTCCACTAGCGCACTCTAACGGATCCCTACGAAGTAGCAATGGAGACATCTTGCGTATAAAACACAGAGGGGGATAAATGTCAAAAATCGTAACATACAATTCTTCCCCCAATATTCCACGGTTGTTAAAATTTGTCTGTACAAAAAATATCTCTAATATCCAACTTGGCTGTGCAATGTCGTCAAAATGTTTTTTCTTTCTTCTGGACATATACAATTTTGGTGATTCATGTTGTAACTCCTGTGAGAGACGGGATCCGCTTTCACAGTTTTTCTTTCGCTGGGATCCAGATCGTCGGACCGGATTGTTCATGAATGATCTCCTTGCTCTGCTGGTAGATGTCGTCTATGGTATCTCCCAAAATGATTGCTATGGAAACAAGAAAAAAGAAAAATTTAAAAATTCAAAATTCAAATACAATTACAAAAATCAAACGAGAACTTACCTTTTTTTTAAGTATAATCCGTAATTTATAAGTAATGTAAGGGAAGATATTACGTAGTCGAAGGCAAGGTCTCTTATTGTGACGTAATATCTAAGGCGTCATTATGTCATAAAATTGGACATTACCATTAGAAGAAAATCTGAATAAAAATGGCTATCTTTGTTTTCAAATTTCATATCTATGTGCACGATTTAAAGGACAAGTAGTGGTTAATGAAATACGTTATTAAAGAGAGTCAGTATTCATAAATTGCTCATTAACAAAAAGAACATTGTTAGAATATTGATAGAGGTATCCTTGTCGTTGTTTAAATACATTTTCTGAAAATGGCTGTGGCTATCTAAAAATATTCTAATTTCTAACCCCTCTCCTTTTCAAATTTCAAGCTATCCCTTTTGTAAATATTTCCCCCCATATTTAATCATGTGTAGTTTTGATAACTTTGAAACATTTTAAAAAGTGAAACATTGATTGATTATCTTAATGGGGACCTTGCTCTTACAAGCCCAGCTTTTCTAAGGTCTCCACTTTCTTTCATTTGGAATATATATTGACTTAAAATTGCACTTAAATTGTTTTTTTCTTATGCTGTTTTTGTTCTATTATTATATGTAAAAATGTTGTGAAAGAAAGAAATAAAATTAACCTTGAACCTTGAACCTAAAATATAATCCCTTCAAAAATCTGTTCATTCCCCACCTGTGAAATATTCCAGGAACTCCTGTTCCAGTTTGAGCGCCCTCTCGTATGTCTTGCGGGCTTGGTCCTCCGAGACCCTCCTGTTCATCTCGACGATGGATTCTACCGACTTGGGCTTGAGGAAGATAGCGATGGGGTAGAGCTGGGCGACCTGCAGGCGTTTGATGGCGTTGCCGCTGACATCAAGGATACAGTGCTTGCCCTGCGACGCACACACACAAACAAACAGACGGAAACAAATAAGAGTTATTACTCTGAGAATCACTGACTTTAAGGTAAAGACCAGTATTGGAAACACCCCAATTTCAAAAAATGAAATGGAAGCTCTTATTACCAATCATGTGAAAGAATATGTTTTGACTAATACATGATGATAACAATTTTGCTGGGAAACCGCCTACTAATTGATATATTTGGTAAATTAGTTTATCTATTGGTGTGTGAGAGACAAACGCATGTGTGCGTATAGTCCCATATACATCTTTCTGTCATTTTGATGATTCCAGAACCTTGCAGTACACACCAATACTTATATGTTAGATGATCAACCTTTTCTGATCAATTCCACAACGTTTCTTTCACAATGCAATCGCATGACCATAACTAGTCTTTATCTTTAATGACTAGAAAAATAAAGCCTAACAGAATAGACCAGTTCACGATTAGCACATGTTCTAAATGACCCAGAATATCCACAGATCTTCAAAACATGAACAGGTCCAACTTTGTACATTTTGAAATAATCACTCCTATGGTGATGGAGGTGCTACGTAAATAGCCTTTAACCTGTGTATCATGGAGTGCACTGCTTGAGCATGAATGAATAATGATTACATTACTTTCAGTTGCACGTATCCAGTATTTTGTCCCCATGTATTTCACAATTTGGTCTGCAATGACCTTTAGCTGCTCATGCTCAGACTGCAACTATGAACTGGCTGGCTTAAAGAGAGTTAAACTGATTTCATAATGAGACTATACTGCCAAGACAGCAGGAGTTGGAGAATCCTGTATCTGGGCTTGTTTCATCAAACTTAATATCAATAGCAATTTACAATAACTGTTATAAGCTACTGAAATCATGGCATCTGATTGGCTAAGAGCAAACTTGTCATAGATAACCTCTTTGGCTGTTATAACTGATATCATTACTGGACTTGCACAATTACTTAAATGAAGTCCCACACACCGCATTTCATGTACCTTTTCTGAGACCTCCTTGACTGATGCTACACTGGTGCCATAGAGATTCTCGTTGTACTGGCCGGCCTCAATGAACAGGTGATTCTGGATGTCTTTCTCCATCTGTTCCCTCGACTCGACAAAATGGTAGTCCCGACCATCGACCTCGTGGGGTCTCCTTGCTCTCGTTGTATCTAAAGAAAAAGTTGGAAAAGTGCTTTAAAAATCAACTGACCGAATTTCTCTGCAACAAGCGATCTTTCAAGATCTTCAGACAGCATTTTAAAACTCTCTTGACATATCATTGTAGGGTAGGAGCATTGGAAGATATTCACGGGTCCATATGGAAATCGTGCTATATAAATATGTCATCATTATAATGATTAACCAACATCTACAAGCAGGAATGCTATTCAATACAACTCACCTATCTTATTTATTCCTTCAAATTTGCCTTTTGCATGTATGAATTTATACAAATCTATTATTACTTAGTACTTTAAACTAAAAAAAGAAGAAGAAAAAGCAGGCTAAGTTTAATTTTGATAGTATTTTGACTAGAACTGAGTATACATGTGTAGGCCTAACTATAAGTCAGATAATTTGAATGATACTGTAGCTATGCTTCATAAGTAAAAAATACCCTTCTGCTTCTGTATAAATTAAAGAATAAATACATGTCTTCCCAGTTCTGAGCAAATTAAATGTTTGTTTGCTTGTTTGTTTTACCTGACTGCTAAGAAAGCATGTGTACGCTTGTAAGTAAGCAACCAGGGGACCAATGACTTTAAGCTCTCTTTGAGGGACTTGGTAATGAGGATTAATGCCTTACCAAAGGGCCCTAGCGCATCCAACTTTGTTTTGAACCCGGGACCTCCCGGTTACGAGACCACTGCTCTACCACTGAGCCATGATGCATCCTCAAATGTGAAATGAAAACCCATGTCCACTGAATTACAATAAAACAAATCAACATGGCTTCATGTGATTGGACACTCACGTGGTACACAGCTTCCGAATTCATCAGGCATTTCTGAGATGAGATCATCATTAATTCTGTCTTTACCAGGTCCAAGAATGATGACAGGCCTTGTGTATTTGACTGTAAAACATAATGGAGGAAACATAATTATTGACTTGCTTACAATATCAAACTGGAGATAAAATATACAGTCACCAGGTAAATTATTCATACCCCTAGTAAATTTGATGTTTTTTTTTTTTTTGTAACTTTAGAATGAAGGTGGACTGGTTGAATTAGGGCCTTTGATATTAATGTCTTATCATTTTGATGATTCCAGAGCCTTGCAGTACACAACAATACTGATAGGCTACATGATCAACTTTTTCTAATCGATTCCACACTATTTCTTTCACGATGCAATCACATGATCAGAACTCAACTTTATCTTTAAATAAAACAGAAATACAACGGAAGAGAATAGACGTAGAGGAATAAGAAACTTGAAATGAAGGCAGAAATTATTCCCACTGATACTTACTTTCTTGCTGGACGACTGCTTCATATGAAAGAATAACCTCCTCATTCCCTGTTAAATAGTCAAAGAATTGAGAAATTTTGATTAATACACACTGATTATAAAGCTCATACAATGTTTTGATTCCATTATTTTGTTAAAGACCTAAAATACTAAGAAACTGATATACATGTAGAAACATTGATAGTAGCTCTCAATGCAATTTTCATACGAGTTGACTTCAGTGAAAATAGTGTGAGCAAGAGAAAACATTTTTCTCTACAACAGTACCATACATTATCTTTGTTTAGATATCCAACATTGAAATAACTTTATGTAATCTTCATTCAAAACTACGCTGCAATATCTGATATGTTTACTATAATACTAACAGTAATTGTATTTTGAATAAGAAAAAAAATAAAATATATATATACTACCTGACACATAAATAATGTTATGATTCATGCTCCGCACATGATATTGATGGTTTAATTGTTGCCAATTTGCACAGATTAATCATACATAAATGAAACATGTTCTTACTTTCATGTCTCATTTGATAAATGTCTCAATAAATCATTCCATCCCCCGATAACCCTTTAACAGGTGTGAACAAAATTAATATATTAGTGGTTGGCAATTTACAGAGATTAATCAAACATAACTGAAACAAATCTTATATTAGTTGTTGCCAATTTAAAGATTATTCTAACATTAATCATTGGTGTAATTAATGTCTTGTCAGGTGACTTGTTAAGTTTCTACCATACTTACTGTAGCTACTCTCGCTATCACTGGCGTTGGACGTGAAAGCTGTATATATTAATAAAGTGAGGGAGATAAAATACAACCTTGTGCATTAGACAATGTTAAAATGTGAAGTAGATAATAGTGTTTCTAAAGTTGTACGATAAACAGTGACATTTTGGGGAATGTCCTACGATTTTTCACCTTACAATCTGACAATAATTTGTACACAAATTATTCCATTAATTAAGGACCCACTTTGTGACGTTTTTGGTGTCCCTGTTACATAAGGAACCCACTCGTATTTGTGGCTTTGAGTAAGGACTTGAATAGTGGAGTGAGATTGTAAAGTGATTTCCTAGCATAATATTGCTTCCTCGTACCTAGAATCATTTAACAATCGTACTCTATCTAAGTCTTTACTTAGAGCCACAAATACGTGTGGGTTCCTTATGTAACTGGGACACCACAAATGTCACAAAGTGGGTCACTAATTTATGGAATTACCCACATACAGGTTGAAACATACATGAGGGGGTGGTGAAACATACATACATGTATACACAGGAATGTATGATTTAATATTACATTTTCATCACAGAGTTTCACATGTACATGTAGGTCGTGGGTACATGAAAGTGTCATAAATGTGCTGGATTAATTTAGTAATTCAAACCTGTCTATTAAGGCCACCCAAAGGAAACAGAAAAAGTGATCACTACAGACAAGTGGCCTTTATATAGAGGTGGCCACTAACACAGGTTTGACTGTACTTGTAATTAAACTTCAAATATAATTTAATATTCATATGCCTTATCAATCCACTATTACTTCTCACACAAGGTACAGAAGTCAGTAAAAACCACCAAGTTTAATTTGCTTGGGGAACAAAAAGTTTCAATTTTTATAACTTGGGTCACTAAGTTTTGTTATAGATACAGTTTTCATTTGAAATGATATCACATATAACTTTCATTTGTATACAGGTTGATGTTTAACCTCCAACAGGATTGCATGCATTATATAACAGTGGTGAGATAAAGGGGTCACAAACAAGAATGAGAATTCTATCCATGTCTAAGAACAAAATACAGAGATAATCTTTTAAAATCTATTCTTTTTATTCTTTTTTTCTTCAAACATCACCGTGAAAAGTTATATCACTATAGAGAGTTCAGTGAGATGAACTATTGTACAATTTAAAGAATATTTTTCATCCAATTTGTCGGTCTTTGTTCTTAATGACTACAATTAAGTGGAACAAATAAAAACACATGGTAGTGAAGTACACGTATAAAGCAAAAGCAATAAGAAAACATGCAGTTCTACTTGTTTGTATGTGTGTGTATGTGAAAACAAAATAATACTGGGGGTGTGTCATTTACAATGGTGTAATCAACAACATAATCCAGTATATATGGGACCACAGTGAGAATGAAAGTGAGAATGAAAGTGATACTAACATATATACTTCATGCCAGTCCCTATTTAACAGTGAAATGAATGAATTTATTTAATTTTAAAACATTTAAATAAAACGTGTCCTGCATTATATCTCCAAGGCTTTGAAGTTTTGTTACATATATTTTTCCTTCTTCTTTTCTTCAAAGCTATTTCAATTGTCAAAATAATTTAAAGCACATTTTTTCTTCAAAAGTGTCACTCTAGCTTTTCAAGCCATTTTGCCATGAAAACATAAATACAAAAGTTAACAAAAATATGAAAAAAACTGGGAAAAGTCAAATATTTATTAAACAGGTGCATGATTTTCAATACTTCTAAAGATAGGGTGTTAAATGACGTATGTTTGTGACACATGGATGTTAGGGGGTGGGGTTCATGATAGAAACTATGATATATTACATGCTTTGTCTATTAAATCAGTCATAACAAAATGGATTATAGTGCCCCTTGTTTTTTCTTCATGAGGCATTATTATTTTATGAATACAAAGTCTTGCTTTTAATATATCCACATATTCAATAACATGAAAGAGGGGTCACTGCTAGTGTTAGATATTATGACTGATAGTATTATTGACCTGGCGGTGAAGACGTAGAGACTATTACTGAAGATGACACTAAGGCAAAGCAGTTTAAGCAAAAGCAAGAAATGAAGAAAGAGAGAAAGAATGCAATCATTAGCCAATACAATCTTTAGGGAAAAGCAATCATTAAGCAAATGCAATCATTAGGAAAATACAATCATTAAGCAAATGAAAACATTAGGACAATGCTATCATTAAGCAAATGAAAACATTTGGAAATGCAATCATTAAGCAAATGAAAACATTAGGACAATGCTATCATTAAGCAAATGCAATCATTAGGAAAATGCAATCATTAAGCAAATGAAAACATTAGGAAAATGCAATCATTAAGCAAATAAAAACATTTGGAAAATGCAATCATTAAGCAAATGAAAACATTTGGAAAATGTAATCATTAGGAAGATGCAATCATTAGGAAATGCAATCATTAGTAAGATGTAATCAAGATTAGGCAAATATTCCAATGAGACAGATAAAGGATATTCTTGATGCAAATCACAAAAATAATTTCGTTGGGTTTTTTTTTATGATAAAGACAGCTAGATAATACTGAAATAAAGACAGTATGATCGATTGAAGAAGAAAAGTTACAACTTGGAGAGGAGAAATTAGAAGTATTAGTTGATGTTTCAGATGAGTTTAGTTGTATGAAAAATAAATTGAAGAAAGATGGAAAATCACCTCAAAGAGGTCATAAAAGCTTTCAAGAAGTCAAAAAATTGCACATATAGAACTGAAGCAAACAAATTTCCTTCATCAAATCATCAAAGCAACTAACTAATCATTTTGTTAAAAAATCGAGCCACTGCATTAAAGTTTCTTTCATGCAGTACAGATTTTTCTCCATTATCTAAAAACAGACATTACATACAGAACATGACATAAATCATTTCTAAAACATGCAAAAGTTGGCAGCATCATGCATTTTCATTGTCATTATTTTAAGTAGTATACTGCCTTGCTAGTTACTTTGGCAAAAGGATGCAAGTGACATTCTGCCATTTTTTTTTGTCATAGAAACAAACCAGAAATGCAAAGAACTTTTTTCTTCTTCAAATAATGTTTTTTTTTGCTGAAAATATTACTGTTTCTAGCTATATTGCCACAATTGCCACAAATTACTCGCAAGTTACCGTTATGATCTGATGAATTTATTTATTTGATATCACTTACGTTCTGGGTCGCTTGTCTCCTGATCGCTGTCTCTGTTTTTCTTGAATTTCCTGAAGAAACCTTTCTTGCCTTTGCTATTTACAGTTCCCTGGAGAGAGAAAAGTTATCAGTTAATACAATTATCAACTAACACCAATCTAAACACAAGGGGCTACATGGCATGCACATGTATGCAAATCGATATTCCCATATATAAAAACATAAACCAAATATATTTAAAACATTTAAAAATCCTTATGCCAACTCTGCACAAGCAATTTCAATTTTTGTATTATAAATTCCAAACATAGTGTCCATAAAAACATCTTACACTCCGCATAAATTAATTCTCAAATCTCTAAAAATTACTTCATACATTAACATAGTTGTCTGTTTTAAACAGTTTTAATATTGCTAATATATCATTTGTCATCAGCTCATTTTAACAGTAAAATAAAGACTTGAAAAAAGAAAAGAAAATTGCAAATTTAGTCACACAGAAGGGTTTATCGTTTAAAGGTAGTCTTTACTACTTCAGCTAGAAGGGATTAGACCACCCAGAGAGCCATCGAGGTCACTGTGACAGGTGGCTATCTCATTAACTCAGCTCTCATTTAACATAAGAAAAAGAGGATCATGGGGGACCAACAGGCACCGATTTGGGAAGTTTTCTATATAGAGGGAGCAAGTAGCTACAAGTAGGACAGTGTGCCTTTAAAGTTTAATTTCTCACCGCTGGCTCCTGGATGTTGTTGCGGTCCTTATTACCCGAGAATTTGACACTCCGTAACCTTGCCTTCTCTTTCCTCTCCACTCTGTATGGTGAAATACAAAAAATATTATGTTACTGAGAGAGAAATATATAAATTAACATGAATCCCCCAAAACAAATCTCACATCATTATAAATATGATCCTAAATACAAAGAAGAATAAATCATGGGGAAGTTTAAAATGTTTATAGTAATGTGGAGTAATGGCAGTGTTTCTAAAAAGTAAAATCATTCAAACTTATCCATCTGGAGTTTGGATTGGTCAATGAAATTCCCCTAAATACTACTCCATCATTTCGCCTGTTGTTTATGATAGCTCGTTTGTAGATGGAATCCACTTTACGTACTATTACATATAGTTGTTACTATGATAGACAAGCATTGTACAAGCATCGCAAGATTTTGGGGGCCATTAAGTAAAAAAAAGAAAATAAAGAGAATGTACTATATCAACCAATGTATTATAGAAAGAATCACACACATTGACAATCAAATTGCTCAAAACTAGACAAAAAAATGATTCTGGAGAAATGAACCCGGATCATAATCCAACCTGTTTTCTACTCTGTACACACATAAAGTCAAACCTGCTTTAGTGACCACCTGTCTACAAAGACCACATTTTTTTGTTTCCCTTGAAAATGGTTTCTCATTGAAACCTTTACTAAAGGAACCTGTACATAAAGACCACTTTTCTTGTCTCCCTCGGTGGTCTTTATAGACAGGTTTCAATGTAAAAACAAAAGTTCAAAGGTTAAAGGTGACTGACCTCCTCTTGCTTGGAATGATGCCGATTTCTCCCTCCTCTCCGTTGGGGAGGATGTGACGCGCCTGCCACCACTCATCGTCGCTTGCGTTGGTCACGTGGATGATGTCACCAAAGTCAAAGCTAAGGCCCTGACTGGGTAGACCGCTGTCCCTGCTCTTATCATAGTCAAACAGAGTCCTGGTAGGAGATGGGTAAAAGAAACAAAAATAGTAGTGGTGGTTAGTTTACCTGACTGCTAAGAAAGCATCACCTTGGTTTGGAACACGGGTCACCTGATTACGGAGCCACTGCTCTACCAACTGAGCTATCGCGCCTCCTCTAAAGAGAGTGGAGACCTCAAGCACATGAAAAAAATGAAATAGCAAATAACGGTTCTTTTTTTTCTATGTTGCATTTTGGATATTACTTATAGCCTCTCAACGTCCCTCCTCCGAGAAATCCTGAACATTCACCTCCATACAGGTAATAGTTTTCCAATAATTTTTTTTAATTTCAAACAGAGATAGTGAATCATTCTATTCTGTAAAAGGTGCATTTTGATGACTATTTTGCCCAAATTGCATGTACTTCTGCAATTTAAAGGTTTGAACTTAAAATTTTATACCGGTATGTATGAATATAAAAAGACAAAAACATCAAATCAGATTTCTCAGTAACTTCAAATTCAAATTTCAAACAGATTAAAAAATATGCTTCTAAAGAGAGTGCTACATGAAATTAACCCCCCCCCCCCCAAAAAAAAAGAGAGTTCAAACAAAGATAAAACGATGAAATAAAGACAACTAAAAAGATGCGTTGAGTACACTCACCTGACAAATAATGTTCTCTTAGCTGACGTCCTAAGACTGCCCGTGGGACTAACAGAGTTCTGCATCATCTCCTCACGCAGTGACTGGATCTTCGCTTCAAAACAGTTGTATTCTGAAATGAAAACATGGACAAAGTTGGACTTAAATCGTCTAAAATTCCATTGGTTGGTCTTGTTCAAGATTCAGTTAACATATTTTACTTATAGACCATTTTATTAACATATTCAAATTTATGGATATTTCTTTACTAGTGACCTAGTGATGAGGTATTCCATCAACCTGTTATTAATGAATGAACTACAATACTTGGAATCCATTCTGAGAATGTTACTTGTTGCTATGTCGGGCAAGCCTTGGGCAAGCTAACAGGTTGTAAAGAACAACCTTTCTTTAAACAGTATGCATACCATATGAATATGTTAGTAAACCAGTCTATTGACTTGCCTGACATGACAACAAGTAATGTATGCAGACTGGTTTCCAAGTATTGTAGTTAATTCATTAATAACAGGTTAATGGCATAACTCGTCACTAGGTCCCCAGGAAAGATACACCATAAAATAAAACCGGTCCATTGTGGTTACAGCTGATGAATTAAACTGTCTACCTTTTATCATGTGCCATGTCATTGAAGTCATTCAGCTGTTCCAAATAGTCAAATTTATTTTCTTCAAGGGATGCACTATGAATATGACTGACAAAGAAAGCGGACAAAATATACAGTTCGTCAGGTAGACAAAGGAACATCCCTTCACTGCTATTATGTAAAAACGTTTAGAACAGGTGTCACATGCATATTCACTTTTTACATAATAGCAGTGAAGGGATGTTCCTTTGTCTACCTGAGGAACTGTATATTTTGTCTGCTTTCTTTGTCAGTCATATTCATAGTGATGTCTTGGAGTGGATTTGTCATTGCTATTTCTGATAATGCTTCATCAAGCTATTCAGGCTTCACTTTGCTGCAAGCCCACTTGTGTAAACCTTATTATGATTACCAACATTATGAAAATAGCCTGTTCTTAATTTATTTTATACCATGCACAATGTTCACTGAAGCTTCTATAATTTGTTATCATTATTAACGAGTCATGAGGCATATTTGTTGCATTACCAATTCTTCCCAACACAGAGGAGTATATTTAGGGATGTTGAAAAAAACCTTTACATGAAAGAAAAGGCATCAGCCTTGGAAAATTTGTAAAGATTTCTGTCTGGGGAGACAAAGGTAATTGGCACAAGGCTGAAAATTATCTCATTTAATCGGCCATTGAATATAACAACCGTCTCTAGGGAAAATGGGCTTATTTTGAATACAATATGAAACCAGATGTTGTGAGATGACTCAATGTACCAGACTAAACATTCACTAGGCTCGTCTCCATCAGCTCAGTTTGCCAAATAACCCGCTATTTTAACTATCCCGATCTTCATCAGCCCGCAGTTGTAATTAGCGGGATATTTGGTTGAGAAAATATCCTGAGAATTTTTTTTTTTTTTCCCCAAAATATCCCGCTATTTGGGAAATATCTGGCAAATTTGCGCCCGTCCGAGCTAGTTTGTGATGAGCGTATTGGTCGGGTGAATACGCAACTTTAAGCTTCAGGAAAATTTCGCTAGTCTGAAAATAGAGGGTTATTTGGCGAACTTGAGCTGATGACGTCAGGCCTACTGAGATGAATAGAATCTCATATAATTGAAAGATTATAACAAATGCATTGTTATCATGACACAAAGAGGCATCAGTATACATGGTTACAGTATGATTTCTACTATGTAAAAAAGGCTGCTTCAAACACAATCCCCTTTCCGCAAAAGAAGAGATTATGAAATGAGCTACATGTAAAGGAATGTACCTTTGCCATACATAATACAAGCTTTTCTTTTTATTAGAACCCCCACTTTATTTAGCTTTTTCAGTGTATTTATCATATTTATAATAGTATCTTTTGTCCTCACTATTACCATGTACATTATGTTCCTATATTTAATGTTTAGTGATAATTATTACCACGTATATCATGTTCAATTATGTTATTTTCGATAAAGTGGAAACAAATAAACTTGAAACAATTCATGTATATGAAGTTGGTCTATAATCAAAGAAAACATAGGCATCGGACTAACTTCCTTCGTTGAAAGGAACAGAACGGAAGCATTAAAGGTAAAGACCAGTTATGTTCATGCGATTGCATTGTGAAAGAAATGTTGTGGAATCGATCAGGAAAGGTTGATCATCTAGCATATAAGTATTGTTGTGTACTGCAAGGTTTTGGAATCATCAAAATGATAAGAAATATGGCCCAGTCTTCGTAAAGTTACAAGCACTGTACACAGAAAGATGTATATGGGACTATATGCACACGTGCGCGACACGTGCGTTTATCTCTCACAGACCATGTAGATAAACTAATTTACCAAATATATCAATTAGAAGGCAAAATTTTTATCATCATGTATTAGTCAAAACATATTCTTTCACATGATTGGTAATAAGAGCTTCCATTTCATTTTTTTTTTAAATTGGGGCGTTTCCAATACTGGTCTTTACCTTTAACTCAGCGTCAGGTTTAAATTTTTGGAGGAAAGCAGGTCTACATTTACATGTACATGTTTGTGTGCTACTCATACAACCGTTCACTATATGTTTGCCAACAAACAATTATGGCACACAAAAGATCAAATTCCTGCCTTTCATGAATGGACAAAATTATACAAAACGGTGAACTTTTAAATAGAAATTTAGCCTAAGAGGTTAACATTAATCAAATTTCGGTAGGTCAGCTCAGTCAAATCAATAGATTTTTAAATAGTTCTTTAGAAATGAATGTATTTATTCATGACAGTACAAATATTTACATTCAAACCAAAGTCACAACCAAAAGCATTTTCAAAGGGCGAGATCCATCTTTATACAGTTGTAGTGGAATTAAGTTCATTTCAAACCTGCTTATTAAAGAAGTGTAAATAATACACAATCATAACATAATTTAATGATGACAATAATTAAGTGTAAAATAACCAGAATTTGGTTGCACTGCTATGCAAACTACATACATTTCTTGTACATTTCAGTAGGGTAATTTTTGTCACTTGACCTTCGGCATTATACAGTACGAGTATGAAGATATCACGGTATAAAGTCCATATTGTATTCTATTGGTACAGACTTGCACTGCATTCCTTCAAACTAATCCAAACTTCAATCCAAAGCCTCTTAAAGTACTTGATAATCTACTAAATTCTAAGTCCTCGAGATGTATAACACAGGACAAAAATAGTACTGTAAATATATGTTGAATGATGAAGGTATTTTAATTTCTACCAATCATGAGTAAGTAGAGTAAGAAGGAAGGGCTCAAATTTAAAGATAAAGTTGAGTTCTGGTCATGCGATTGCATTGTGAAAGAAAATATGTGGAATGGATCAGAAAAAGTTGATCAAAATGATAAATTTGGCCCAGTCTTGGTAAAGTAACAAGCACTGTACACAGAACATAGTATATGGGACTACACAAATGGTGTCGGGCCTCCTTACCTTGATTTCCTTATCTTTCTATGCTCATTACTCAGCCAGTATACATTTTCTACCAAAATTGCTTGGCAAATGACATTTGTTTGTAATCTTGAACATTCAGTGTAAGTTTCGTTTGACTCTGTGAGAATTCATTTAAAAAAAAAAAACAGAACTCAAGTTTATCTTTAACCTCTTGCCTACTGTAACCAGGTTGTCCCTGTATTAAGCTTATGGGAATCAGGGAATTCAGTAGCCAGTGGGTTAACAGGGGTATGAATGAGAACTGGCCCTCAATATTTTACTCCACTCGAAACATGGACCCCTTGTCAATAGACCCTAACCTGGACCATCTGTGAAAAAAAAATGTGTGGGGCACTAACAGTTTGGAACTTGTTCACAATTTTCTACCTCTAAGCAGACAATGTATTAATTTTAATAATAATAACAATAAGCCCATTCTTGTTTAGCGCATAATACTTAGTCTCTATGCGCTTCCAAAGAGCTTCAGAAATTTCAGAGATGAAGACAAAGTTCTATGCTTGTAAATATCATACATTTCTGTCAAATAACAGACACTGTACTTGTATTTTTTGTATATGATCTCAAATAAACTTCATAAAAACTTCGTATTCTGATCCTGATATTTGTAAATGTAACTCACTATTATTGTATGTCCAATCATTGAGCAGTTGCAGTTCTTTTCATATATGCATTTCAAAGTCGTTGATACAAACAAGTCCATGCCATTGAAAGCAATCACACACAGGACAATAAAATCCTTTCAATAAAATATCAAACGGAATTCCAACCATTCAGAAGTAGATTTCACAGGCTACTGCAGAGTGTAGATTCACATCCTGGACACGGCGTAACATACATGGAGAAGAATCCCTGTTACTCATGGCATGGAGGATCCCAGAGTTCATTTCATGTCAATTTCCAAAAAGAGGGAGACAGTGGGAGAGAAAGAGATATAAGCCTTTTCAACAAAAGCATTGAAGACAGCTAAATACGGATCCTGAGTGACTGGATCACGGCTGTGACATTTCTGTTCTGTTTCCTGCCCGAGACGATTAGTGCCTACTCCACAGACTGAAACCCACTCACGAAAGAATACAACTCGTAAATGTTCCAGCCATTGAAAATGAAGTGCAACAATGAGATCGAAGACAGAATGAGAGAGGGAGAGAGACAGAGGGGGAGAGACAGACAGAGAGAGAAATTAAAAAGCTCTTGAAATGTATCCGCTAGGCAAATGCCATTGTTCGCTCCACATTTTGCTTTAAGAGTAAACAGTAGTTCGCGACTTGATTTCAAATGGCTCTTTGAGAGACGATGGGGGCAAAGGGCACTGGAGCATTAGCTGAAGCTTGTATTGAATAATTTAGGTTTGTACGACTTGATAACAATGTGTGCTGCTCGACTTCTATCTGTAAAATCAATAAGTCCATCCATTCATTTATCCTTTTCTCACCCTCAATGATAAATACGATAGATAGCTTGCGAAGTACAGGCCAAAATTATAGGAGCAGTGCATATTTTACCAGGTTTAACACAATTTGCTCTGCCCTAAACGGCAAACATATGAAGTAAACATGCATGCATTATGAACATGTATGTACTGTACAAATATACCGATACTGATGTGTGTTGGAAAATGATAAGACTAAAACATGGAAAATGCATTACATCTTGGTTGATCGCAAAATAATGATAAATACCATATAATCACCATTTGGTATCACTTCTGAAAGAAGCCTCATTAAATGTGACAAACTGAGTCATTCATCAATTTTAGTAGATTACAAATGGCCTTGTCATAAGCCACCTCTAGCTGTGTTTCATTAAAATAAAATAAAATCAAGAAACAGTAGATGTAGGCAAAGAATGATGCCATACCTGCATTACAACAGCATATTTGCACACTTAAACAAACCTAGAAATACAACATTTCAATAGAGCATAGATAGGTCAGATTTTATTTGTACCCTTTTCTGATCACAGATAAAATACTAGTAGTCCAACGTGTGAAATAGGTCAAGGAGAGAGAGAGAGGGAGAGAGAGAGAGAGAGAGGGAGGGAGGGAGAGAGAGAGAGAGGGAGGGAGGGAGGGAGAGAGTGAGGGAGGGAGACAAAGAGAGGGAGAGAGACAAACAGAGAGAGAGAGAGAGAAAGAGAGAGACAGAAGGAGAGAGAAGAGAGAGAGAGAGAGTGAGGGAGGGAGACAAAGAGAGGGAGAGAGACAAACAGAGAGAGAGAGAGAGAAAGAGAGAGAGAGAGAGAGAGAGAGAGAGAGAGAGAGAGAGAGAGAGAGAGAGGGGGGGGGGGGGGGGGGGGGGGGCGGGGGATGGGCAAGATAAAGGAACAAAGTATATAAAAAGAGAAATGAAGGAACATGTTCAAGGGGGAGATAAACAAAGTATATGGAACAGGAAATGGAGGCATATGTACAGAATTGGGAGGGGGGGGGGGGAGAAAAAAGAAGGGTGAGATAGAGAGAGAGGTTGAAATAATACAGTTATAAGTTATAAGGGGATCAATAAGAAAGGAAGAGGAGTAAAAGAGACAGAGAAGGGGAGAGGGGGCGGGGGCACGATTAACAATTGTACACATTTAAATGTATGACAAAGACTTCGAGGAAAAGGAAATTAAAGCTAATTATACCCATAATACGCGTTGAGATGGTAGACAATTACCATCAACCACAAAACAAATGTTACTTCTGCAAGAGAAGGAAGTGTGTGGGTGTGCTAACTTGGTTCTTGTTCTTTTGCATTTTTCTCAGATTCTGATTTTTAAGGTGTGGATATCCTGCCTTTTGTTTAGGGATTTAAAAAGATCGGAGGTGCTCTTAATCCACGTTCTAGATGGATGATCCTCATTGAAGCTCATTATCCCACTCACTTCAACATATAAAAACACGGAAGTCCGTGAGCCACAAATTATGCAAATTATAAGCAATGAGTCAACTTAAATGCAAAGACTCCCCTCCTCAAGAAATAAAGGAGAACTATTTTTGTCTGTTGAGAGCCCTTATAGGTACCACTAACGTTTTCTTTTCAAGACAACAATGAAAATGGTTGCATTGTGTATAAATACATTTTAAATTGTTCTAATAAACAACAAAAAAGCAACCTCAGACATATACATGTACAGTATATTGCTTACTGTTTTGAAAAAAGACAGTTGTTAGCCTTCTTTTGTAATTTCTGTTCTCAGATTTAGATTGAACGTCATTAGCTTTAGGGAAATTAAAAAAATGTATTTCACAACATGTAATTTTGTTTATCTAAACATACTTTTTAAAAAACTCAAAACATAGTAAAAATGCACAATATTACAGATCTTTGTAGTATTGTTGTCTAGATGTGTTCATAGTTTATACTGTTATTTCATTTTAGAACATAACTAACAACTAAGTAACTAACAAAAATATTGAGTTGGGGTGAAAATTAAGGACGAGGGGATGAGAAACAAGGAATTATTTTTCACTTGGCCTGAATACCTTTTCAACATTATCCAATGGCTAAAAAACTGACTTGCAGCTTTAAGATGTTGAACTTTTAGAACAATTCATGACAGCTAATAGGTCATGACAGTCAGTCAACCAATGTCAAAATATTTTTCAGTTTGCTTTTCAACAAGAGTAAACAAACAAAGTCAACCGGATGGAAACATTTCTAAGAAAAAAATAGAGCAAAAATAAATGACAAAATTAGAAACCTGTCAATCAATATTCATGATGATGTATTTGTGGTATTTAGATTAATGATGTTTGTTCTGGTGATTCATAATTTTCCCTCCCACCGAATGATGCATGTGCAAGTACGTACCAGGATATCCTAAAGCTACAGTGTAGGTAGATCTCGCCTGAAATGGAATACATGGGCAGAAGGGATAGAGGGGGGAAGGGGTAATGGGGGTCTACATCTTCTACTTTTGGAGATCTTAAATATTTTTAGGATGTCAGTCAAGAAAAAGATTAAACTCTAAATTGTCTGTTTGTCAGACTTTTAAGGAGTTTGCACATCTTGTTTATTAAACACAGATATGTGTACTAAAAGTGTGCCAGTTTTGGTTGGGGGGGGGGGGGGGGTCAAAAGCTCCATGTGCTCCCTTTGGATATGAAAACCTTTAAAAAAAGAAAGAAAGAAGCTACTTGCTGATCTCAAAGAATGGTATTCATGAGTGTAAATTCATATAATTAAACATGACATTTCATTATAACTTTCTCCATTGCCAAAGGAACCTAACAAAAATAGAATCACACAAAACGCTTAACCGATTTCATAGGTGACGCAAGATCTTGAAGGCAATTGTGTGCTGAGAGCAAGAATTCTAATTCAAAGGTATTTGATTCATGTCCTTCGAGCTCCCGACAGACAAACTGGAGTGAAAAGAATACCGGTACTAGTTTATAAGAGGACAAACAACGAAAGAAGACGGATTGATAGAAGAGTAAAAACAAAAAGTCATACAAGGACAGTCTCTGGCATAAATACATGTAAGCCATAACAAATTACTTAATCTATGAGTCTGGTTTCTCTCTTAAAGGTAAAGACCAGTTTTGGAAACGCCCCAATTTCAAAAAATGAAATGGAAGCTCTTATTACCAATCATGTGAAAGAATATGTTTTTAATAATACATGATGATACCAAATTTGCCGGGAAACCGTCTACTAATTGATATATTTGGTAAATTAGTTTATCTATTGGTGTGTGAGAGATAGAAATGCACATGTCGCGCACGTGTGTGTAGTCCCATATACATCTTTTAGTGTACAGTGCTTGTAACTTTATAAAGACTGGGCCAAATTTCTTATCATTTTGATGATTCCAGAACCTTGCAGTACATCTATGCTAGATGATCAATCTTTTCTGATGTACATTGTATTTCACAACGTTTCTTTCACAATGCAATCGCACAACCATAACTGGTCTTTATCTTTAATATATGAGTCTGGCTTCTCTTTTAAACACTGTCCTTCTAAACAAGTTGTAGTCTCATATGAAACCAAATTGATCTGAATCAAATGTCACGACATTCACTCGTTGACATACCTAAATTTCAATAATAAGCAATTCACACACAAACATTTGTATGAACTACATGTACATAAAGAACCTTTCTAAATATCTTCTATAATCTCTATTGCAGCACAATTTTATAACCAGCAATCATCTTTATCTTTAAACCCTTCCGCATCATAGGCGGCAAATTCTGCCCAAACACTTTGAGCGTCAAACAAGGTGAGTAGATTAGGTAGGGATTCATTTTATCTTTTCAAAGTCAGAACAAATTACCTCTACTGTGAGTTTTTCAAATATATATAATTTTTTTTTTTTTTTTGGGGGGGGGGGGGGGGGGAAAGAGATGTATTGCCCAAACTGATCACTGAAAAGGGCATTTAAGTCCAAAATGTCACTCTTGAAAGTCATACATGCACTAATGTGCTTTGGCTAGACATTACTCTACATTTGCCACTCTCCACCCAGGTGTTGAATGGTTACTGACAGGAAGAAATTTCTTGAATATTGTGAGCACCGATACAGCAACCTAGCAGAGCCGGGGTAATATTGAAGTGCCTTGAACACCCTAGATGGTGGATATGTGCGCTATATAAATATATCTGATGTTATCGCCCTCTGACTGCTGGATGGAGGGTTTTTAAGACTGTTTAGTTTTATTCTCACATTCATATGCCTACTGTTGAAAAGTGCTGTGGTCCAGAGGAGGAAGTTAAAGATGACAAAAGTAAAGTTACTCTTACCTTCCGGTTTATATTGTGCATCTATTGTGACCACTTGCCCTGCGCCCTTCAGCGCTAATGCAGCATCTTCATGGGTAGCGTTGACTAGGTCTTTACTATTAACCTGAAAGAAGAAATTAAACAATCATTTAATTGGTTGTCCCTCATTCAATATCGTACTTGATGTTGTAATACATTCAATTTATTGCATTCAGTATAATGTATTCAATGTTGTACCTCATTTATTGTATTCAATTTATCACATTCAATGTATTGTATTCAATGTTATACCTCATTAAATATGGAGGTAAGATGTTAAATTTGTTTGACCAAACTCACACCTCATGGCGAATTGCTCCTTCATATTTTAAGCACATATTAAGTAATAATGTACATACATTTTATCACTGTTCTAGTTCATGAAGATATTATCCTTAATACTAATATCATCATCATCATCATCATCATCATCATCATCATCATTTTTCACTGCATTCCTCTGGACATCAATATCTAGTTTATCAAGAATTCTAAATTAAGCATCTTTTACATTCAATTTTACATGTTTTCTTATTGTCACAATTTGTATAACTATATTATTTTACTTGCACTGTAAAAAAATGTACAATTCAATCTGCGACTTCCATTCATGTTTTAATAAACCTTGATTCATTTGTATTTAATTTAATTCTTGTTTGCCAAAATTTGGGAGCTACCTACCGCAAGGATTTGATCCCCTCTCCTTAGAGCACCACTGAGATCCGCCACTCCTCCGGCCAAGATGAACGAGATGAAGATGCCCTCTCCATCCTCTCCTCCCACGATGTTGAAACCAAGACCGGTGGCTCCCTTGTTGAGCACTACTTGCCTGGGTTCCCTGTAGCGGTAGATAGTTACAGGAGGGAGAGAGGCAGAGAGAGAGGGAGGGAGGCAGAGAGAAAGAGAGAGGGAGAGAGAGAGAGAGAGAAGGGGGGGGGGGCAGAGAGAGAGGCAAAGAGAGAGAGAGAGAGAGAGAGAGAGAGAGAGAGGAGGTGGGGGGGGGGCAGAGAGAGAGAGAGAGAGAGAGGCAGAGAAAGAGATAGATAGAGAGAGAGAGAGAGAGAGGCAGAGAGGCAGAGAGGCAGAGAGGCAGAGAGAGAGAGAGAGGAGAGAAAAAGAAAAGATAGAGAGAGAAATACATGTAGTAGGTAAGAGGATACATAGTAAAAATAGAGAGAAGAAATGAAAATATGAAGGTAGAGATAGGGAGAGAAGGAGGGAGGGATAGATAAATGTAGAGAAAGAAATAGGGAGAGTGAAAGACAGAAATATCAAGAGTGAAAGAGGGTGTATAAAGGTAGAGAGGAAGAGAGAAAGAGAGAAAGGAAGAGAGAAAGAGGAAGAGAGAGAGATAAAGAGGAAGAGAGAGAGATAAAGAGCACATGTGTTAGCATTATCTTGTAAATATATGCATGACATCTACATTTTGGATAAAAAGAGAAAGAATATAGTGTCATTTCTCCCATGCAAAGTGTGTAACCTTGTCATTTGAATGACAATTCATGTACTTGAAGACTCAGGGACTCCCAAATTTCTTTTTTAGCATAACTGAATTTAGGCTAGGCACATGTAGAAATTTGACTCAATAATCCCCAAGCCCTTTCTCTCCCCCCCCCCCCAAAAAAAATATCTTCAGCCCCCTCCAAATTTGTTTTGATCATAACTGAATTTACGCAAGGTAAATGTCCAAAATGGATGCAGTAACCCCGGAGCCCTCCCCCTCCCCCGAGGTAATTAACCTTCTAGAACTGCTCCTCAATAACATTCTTGGAGCAGGTGTTTCATTGATTAAAATTATCACCATCATCACACCTATCGTAACTCTCCTCCTCCACCTCCCCTTATGTTTAAATGACATGCATCTTGAGCTCTTGTGATGAAACTGTACTTAAAAAGATATCTACTCAGAGCCAGATTGGCATTCACTCATTTACTTTAACACTGAGTTAGTACTCTTCGGGCTCTCATAAGACCCTACTGTCTGAAAACAAGTTCAGGTTTTTTTCACAAAGATCCTAGGTTGAACATATCTCTAAGTTGGACTTAACAATTATGGAGAGCCGTTAGCATCTTTGAAAATATTTTGTAAAAGATATTTTAAAAGGCGTAAAATGTTGATTCAAATCATTCATATTTTCCATTTTAAAGGAGATTCCATTTTCTTGATGCAGAATTTATGAAAAATATAAAATACTTGAATTTTGCTTTAGAATATATTTTATTTGAAGGCTACAAATGTGCCTTCATTAGGTAATACAAAAGCATGACCCTGCAGTAGCTTTAGTAACAATGAAAGAATCTGCCTCTGAGCAGACTACATGCCCTAGGTTAAACACTTTTAGTTATTTGACCGGCTGGTGAGAATTTAAAGAGTAAAACCGAAAATAAAAGGCGTCAAGTAACGCCTGGCTGGAATGCTCCCCAGGAGTGGAGATTGTGCACACAGTGTGTGCGGGCAAGCACTGAATCCAATGACCGGGATAATAGTATATCTGTAAAGCGCTTAGAGGCGTCTGAGATGTATTAAGCGCTATATAAAAGCTGAATATCATTATTATCATTAATGACTTCATTCCCTTTGTCTCGCCAGCCGATGACTCACCTTGGTATGCCGTCATCGTTCTGGATGAAGATCTTTGGAGCGGGCGTGTTGTTGAAGGCGTTGGGTGGCTGTGAGTTGGTTACCCTGTTGTACGATGGGGGCTCTCCATTGGATCCATTGGCTCCATTGGCCCCGTTGGCCACGCTGGTCCCAAAGGCCACGTTAGTCCCGAAGGCTCCGTCCAGCTCCTGGAGGTCAGAGGATCGTGGCTCTTGCATCAGGGTGGGCTGCATTGTTGCATAAACTGTCAAAAAGAAGCGCACAGGATAATATTGGTAATAGTTTGTTGTCATCTGCTGCAGATGATAACCTCTCAAGGCGCTTTTATACAACGCCGACTAAGATTCTTGCAACCTCATTGGTCAATTCTTGATCACATAACATGCGCTAAAAGTACCATTGAACGGTATCATTCTCCAGCCGTGCAATTGCGTTTGATCCTTTCGCACCACTGCACTCTGACGTCACTAACGATGTACAAAGTATATTGTGCGCTAAGTGACGTCAGAGTGCAATGGTGCGAAAGGATCAAACAAAATTGCACTCCACATCAAAATAAACATAAATCTTTGTACGCGAGGCGCATGGTTTGCTGCTTGCTTAATAATGCACGCTCACTATCGCAATTTCATAAATGAAAAACAAACAAAAAAATTGCTGAGATTTAGGCCCGATGATTGCTGTAACTCCTAGTAATTACATTTGTAGCTTCATTTGGTATATTATGTCACTAAGTACCGTGCATGAGCTCCTACATGTACATGGACATACGAAAGCATCTTATCAAAGGAGGACGATCGAGAGACGATGCTTTTTCAAAATTAAGATTTTAACAGAAATAAAATTGGCTCGTCTTACCTGGGTTGGCTGCTGACATATCCACATTGGAAACGTCTGGAGGCTGGGCGTTCTCGTCATTCTGTGAGTAGGGCGCCATCTGTGTTCCGGCGAGGAGAGTGGCATTCTTGATGACCGTCAGGAGCACCCTGTTGCTGGTGGCTTTCAAGACGGCGACCGCGTCCTCGTGGGTCACCTCTACCAGGTTGTTATCGCCAACCTGAGAGGTCAAAGGTCACATCAAGGATAAGTAATTTCAAATATTCGGCTGAGCAGAAGGGCAAGATCTGTTTATCCGGCAGGACTAATACCTCATGTTCTATGAGAGGTCTAATATTGTCTCTTTGGAGCATAAAGGATGTTAGGAAGCATATTTTATCAGAGTTAATGCCATTCTGGCTCTGAACAGAGGATATGTACAGTTCAACTACTGTTTTGGGTTCTACAGCACATGCTGCTGTGACAATAGTACGTAATAGTAATTTAGGGCACTGTGTTACAAAACATGCATGTTTAAGGCTACTCGTACATCAGACTTTAATCATATGGGCCCCATTTCACAAAATTTGTCATCAGTGACAAACAACAGTTTTTGTTGTAAGCTAGTGAAATCCTTACTTTGTCACTTGTCATTTGTCACTGATTTTTGTCGTTGAAAAAAGACTTTGTGAAACAGGTCCCCGATCCTTTATCTTCTTTAACAGGACATCATTACCATGAAAACAATACAAAGTTGGACCCTGACAACAAAAATCGATCCCAACTCACCGCTGTGATCTTGTCTCCGACCTGCAACCTCCCGTCTTGCTCTGCGGCGCCCCCGTCGATGATCTTCGTGACGAAGATGCCGTTGTCGCCGGGGACGTGCTGGTTACCCTGACCCCCTGCGATGCTGAAGCCAAGCCCCTTGGAGCCCTTGATGAGCTCGATGGACAGCGTCTTGCCAGTGGAGGGGTTCCTTGGCCATCTCCTTAGAACCTTGGGATGGACAGAAAGAATTGCTTGATTAATTCATTATTCAGTGAAACCTGTCTATAAAGACCGCCCAAGGGAGACAAAAAAAAGTGTTCTTTATAGGCCCCTTTCTCTTTTTAAAGGGATCCGGTATCTTTGTCTCAGATTCTGAAACAAAATCCTGGATTTAGCTCATGCTGCAATGATAATTATAACCATTAGGTCAGTCAGGGACCCCACGACTTTTACAACCGATCGCCTGTCTGATTATCAAGATATTTATGATTGGAAATCGAAACCAAATTTCCTATCGGTTTTCATAACGCTATAGACTATTGGGGAAAATGAGTATGGTAAAATCGGTCACTCAAAGATTTTTACTTTTTTGAGGCACTTCTTGATCATTTTGAAGCGCACTTTTTTTAGGGCTTCAATATTACACCCTATCACAGACACTGATAACATGTAGGGCTGTGCATCTCAGATTTAACATTGTTAAATGATGCCTTTAAGTTCTCCCTTCTGAAGTACTCACCATGTGTACGGTGTTGCCCGCCCTCTTGAGGGCATCGACGGCTAGTTGGTGTGAGACACCCAGGATCTCCCACTCATTGACTTTGCATATCACATCGTTAACTCTGCAACAGAAACAAAAGAAGAACATAATGAGGTAATACAAAGAACAGAATTAAAACTAAACAAAAATCAAGAACTTACCAGTTTGATCAGTAGAATAAGGGAATAGTTAGTAGGTACCTGGTAAGATTCATTCCTTGAATGCACTGAGCGCTACGGTTGCCCGAACTTAAGTCGGAGTAATAATATCCAAAGTCCTTTGGAAGCACAGCGCTATACAAGAATGATAATTTTATTATCATTATTATATCATGCCCTGAGGAATACTTAATTCAAGGCAATGTCTTATAGAGTGTTTGAAAAATTAAAGACTGATGGCACGTTCTCTATATATCAATCATAGCTTAACAAACCCTTATCTCTTTAGTAGGGCATTGGGATTGATATCAAGTGTGAACAATTTGAATCAATCTTAACTTTTCAAACATGTAATAAAAAAAGTCAGGACCCTGGATTTCTAAATACCTGTACATCCAAAATGTTGTTTATTTCACTTACTTGGGAAATTAACATCTGCTGGGCAGCTAAAATGTGGATTGTTCTCATATTTAGCAGCATTTCAAAAAGGCTTTAGTGGAAAGCAATTTGAATCCAAAGCTCTCAGTATTATTCAAATTAAATCTCATTTACAGCACAAATGCACCCACTTCTGATTAATTTTCCACTCGAACTATTAAGTCTAATAAGACATTTTGAAGAGTGAATTACTGGTGTCTTCCATCTATTACCGCAGCAGCCCCTGGAAAATATATGGTGAAAAAGAGATTGAAATGATCCCCATCTCGGCATAGTCCCTCAGTATCCCCTCTCTGTAACTTCATATAAAGTTAAACCACTGATACACCATTTTTTCAAGAGTGACTTACTTGAGTCTTCCATCTACCACTGCAGCACGCCCTGAAATAAGTTTGGTGATAAAAGTACCCAAATCCTTCCCGATATGGGATTCTTTACCCCCCTACTAATATGAATTTTCTTGGAAGAGTGACTTACTTGGTGGCGAATATAAGGGATTGTCTCTTTATGTGGGGGGGGGGGGGGGGGTCATTGATCCCCCAACATTATCTAAAGAACAAGCTACTAATACACCACGTTTACTTACTTGAGTCTTCCATCAACCGCTGCAGCACCCCCTGGAATAAGTTTGGTGATGAAGATACTGGGATCGTCTCCTATGTGGGGGTTGTCGGTACCCCCGGCGATGCTGAAGCCTAGACCCGCCCCACCCTAGGGGTAGAGAAAAAGGGAATGGAATATTTTAAGAATGAAAAAAAAGCATGTCATGTTCAGTTTTCATAATTATACATCCTTAATAATGATTACATCTATGAATAGATCAACTGACATCTACATTTAAACGTCTAAAAGCTTAACCACATTTATTGATTTGCTTTTGTATGCTGTTAATACCATCAATGTTGTTCCCAACATCCAATATCTATGTTTCTCATATATTTCTACTATCCAACATGCAACCTTTTTCTTTCTCATGTTAACGACATTCTCCACCACATTACACAGAGTAATGACAGGTTTTTTCAAATTATTGAACCATTTTCAAATTTACACAAAATTGAACAGGCAAAAGATTGGAGTGATGTGCGTACACATACAAGCCTTTATTATAAATGGCCTTGTCGAAATGTCAATATATTTTCTCATTAAAACATGTTGGTATCTCATTATGTGCAAAATTCAAGGGCAGAGCTAGTAGCCATTGGTATTCATCATAATTTTGAATACATTGAATAAGAGGACTGGATGAAAGAGAAAAGAGAAAAGAGAATCTAGAGGAAAAACATACAATATGGAGAAATTTAAAGAGAAGGTTGAGTTCTGGTACAGGTTACAAATAATTTTTGAGTTTTCTCCTTCTTTTTGATCGTTTGTAAAAGAAGATTATAACAGGTATGTACTAGGTATGACAAGTACTTTTTTTCTGAAAGGCCTTCATGTTCCAAATATGGCTGGAAATAGCTTTAAAGAGTTGGCACCAATTTCACACATGTGTGTTTTGTAATAAAATTTATACAATTTGTTCGTTTAACAACTACATTATTCTTACCCTTAACAAGTTTTTATATATTTTTTATAGTATGTGAAAAACTGATTTGTCTTATAACAAAAAAGACAAAAAGCGCAAGCTTACTGTAGGATTTGGAGGTGATTTTCCTGACAAATCTAGACAATGTATTGGAAACCGTCTGCAATCATTTTCAAACATTCAATATCTTTTCAAAATTTTTAATTTTTTAATTTGCTCTAGTAAAAGAGAAATATTTCCTCATAATGACTTTTGATGTTTTATATAATTTTGAAGCCAAGAAGGGCTATATAACACAGAGGGAATCCCTTTCTGGATCTGAAAATAGAATATTTTATTATTTTTTTTAACAGAGTTCTTTTCCAAATTTCCAGGGTTACTTTGAGGAGCTCCTTACAGCTGAATCAAACCCTATGGTCATAATACACCTGTAAAGCACCTAGAGACATCATTAATGTATTAAGCCCTATATGAACCCAGAATAGTATCATTACTATTATTATTAATCTTTCTATATGCCTATTGAAAAATTGCACAGGACGGTTAACGTCGAAGAGAAAGCTAGCATTTTCCTCTGAATATGTCAGAGAGCTTGATCAATATCATGCATCTTGGCTCGATCAATAGAAACGCTAAAAATCAACAAACATCGGGCACTTGAGGACGACAGCGAACCGCCCCACCCCCTAAATTTAGAAACTAGCCGGTGGAGGTCAAAAGAGAGCTGAAATTGTGCATTAAAGATAAATTTCAGTACTGGTTAGGTGAATGAATTGTAAAACAAACTGGCTCAGTCTGAGAGCAATTGTGAAAGGTTGATTGTGTAATATTGATATATAATGTGAGGTTCTGAAATACTCAAAATGAAAATAAATGGGACTCATTCTTGCAGACAATCACATGGACTGCTCACACAAATGGGTATATGGGACTACATACAAATGTTTGGTTCAAATTTGTCAGCAATTATCAACATATTTTAAACATGAAGGAATTGAATAGCAATGCTTTGCAGGGAACATTTCTGCTACTGTATGATATTCTTCTGAACTGACATAAAAAGAAGGAGAATGGTGACTAATTATGTTTTATCTTGGTCAGAACTAAACCTTCTCTTTACAGTGTTCAGGGCAGAAGTTAAGGGGCTCTCCATCAGTATTCACTCACTATAGGGAAATAGAGCAATTAGGTCAATTCAATTACATACTGTATGAAGCCTCAGTGAGTCACGAATCTCAATTTTTTTTCACCAGAGGATTAAATTCTTGAGGCTTTGAATAATTAAACACTGTTCAGTTCAAAACTATGAATTAATCTACTGGGTCAATGGTAATTTTGTTCTAGATTCAAGATTGGGGGTGGGCGGGAATGGGAGATTGAAATTGTTCAACTGTATGGGCATAAAAATATGATCATTCCATTTTGACTTTGTTTAATAATGAGTATCATTATAACTATGAACTAATGGGCCAATGGTAGTTTTGTTGATGGGGGGGGGGGGGGGGGGGGGGGTGGAGGGATGAATGTGCGAGAGGAGAGTTGTGTTCAACTGTTTTTGGATCAAAGATTTTACATTTGGACTGAGCTGACTAAAGGATGTGAGAAAGAATATATCCCAATTGCACAAGTCAAGTACAAGTATATCTAAATTGATTGAAATGTTCTTTCTGCATGGTGATGCATTACCACATCCAACGAGCGGGCGCACGCTATCAAATGTTGGGTTAGGAAGAATAAGGCTGTGCACGATAGTGTCTGATGGATGATTTCAAAGCACACAGAAGCGAGTCTAAATTGAAACTACCCTGGGAAATCAACATGAAATGTGCGACATATGTTGGATGCCTGTGACTCAGGGGTCACAAAATCGACCAGACTGAAATTTTTGCAAAAACGACTCGTTGGAGGGGCTGGTAGTAGGTTGCAATAGTGATAGTAATTTGGAGAGATAAGAAAAACTGCTCTGGTGCAAAAAGACTGAAATTTAGAAAACAACTCGATGGAGGCGCTGGGAGTCCATTGGAGGAGGAGGAGTTGGGATAATAATTTGGAGAGAGAATAATTGCTCATATGCAAAAAGAATTTATGAAATGTTATCTACTCTGTCTCAGTCTCTGTACAGTATTCTGTAGGGGATTGACTTCAAAATGGGAGAATGTAAGAGAATGAAGTTGTCATTAAGAGGTTGAAGAAAGGAGAAATGATGATGTTTGAGATGAGGAGGAATGTCTTTTTAATAATTCATTTCATATTTCAGAGACTTGGGGAAGTAGTAGTACAATGAATGAACAAATGAGAGGGAATGAGAGAGAGGGAAGGAGAGGGGAGGGGAGGGAGGAGAGGGAGGGAGGGAGGGAGGGAGAGAGGGAGGGAGGGAGGGAGGGAGAGAGGGAGGGAGGGAGAGAGAATGAGAGAGAGGGAAAGAGAAGGAGGGGGAGGGGAGGGGAGGGGAGGGAGGGAGGGAGGGAGAGAGATAGAGAAGGAGTGGGGGAGGGGAGGGAGAAAGAGAGAGAGGGAGAGAGAGAGAGAGAGAGAGAGAGAGAGAGAGAGAGGATGAAAATGGTAAGAGTCAAATGACTGAAATGAACTGGAATAATGAGAGGACTCTAATCAATAAAAAACAAAAGGATGCAAAAAAGAAAAAAAAAAAAAAAACAAGTTCTGATTTCAGATTAATTGAATCAATGGCCCAATAGTCATAGCAAATTAATGATAACTTTTCTGTTCATATTTAGAAGAAAAAGAGTAAATTATGATTTTTGTTTACTTCAACTAGCACACAACTGTCTAACTATGGAATAATCTCTGTTACAATTTTTCATCAATTTGGTAATTTGAGTATCAGCGATCCAATGAGAAATATCAAATAAGTCCTCCATAACCTGAAAATGCAGAATAATTTCATCTCTTTCTATCAAATTTTAAGTGCAAAAGAAGAACAGAGAAAAATGGCATATTTCTTTTTCTCTTTGTATCATACATGTACATCTGTCCAAAGATGAAATTACATCTGTCAAGATTTTCTCCCTAGTTTGAGGATATTTAGAGAACAAATCCCCTTGTAAGGACATCAAGCTTATTGTACAGAGGGAAATCTGTAACTCTATGAATAATTGAATCTCAAATGATGGCTCCAGATATCAGGATTTAAAGGGCATGCATAATACGGTTCTTATGCTAGCAGCCACATACAGAGTATATATATATATATATATATATATATATATATATATGACATATATTCTCCCAGTGATTGTTTTTTGTAAATTTTGGGTGTGCAGACACCGAGGAGATATTTGGTAATATAAATGGAAGAAGAAGAAGGAGAAGAAAGAGAAGACGAAAAATAATAATAAAAAGAAAAATAAGAAGAAGCAAAAGAAATAGTAAGAAAAAGAAGGAAAAAAAAAAATTAAAAAAAAAAAAAGAAGAAGAAGAAAAAAAAAAAAAAAAAAAAGAAAAAAAAAGGAGAAAAAGTAAGAAAAAAAAAAGAAGAAGGAGGAGATGAAGAAAAAGAAAAAGAAAACAAAAAAATAATCAAAATAAACAACAAACCCCCCCCCCCCCAAAAAAAAAAAAAAATAGAGAGAAAAAAAGAATAAAAACAAAACAAAAAGTAGAGGAAGAAGAATAAGAGGGAGGAGGTGGAGTTAAAGGAGGTGGAGTTAAAGGAGGAGGAAGTAAGAGGGGGAAACACAACAATGTATGATTAGAAAATAAGAAGAGGGGAACAAAGCAAAAATAAATGAGGAAAAAAATGGGAAAAATCTAGCTGTCAAGTAAAAGAATGGAAACCTACATAGAAAAATAATAATTTGAAATTAACAAAAAAGGACATGGAAAAGAAAAACAACCAAATGATGAACTGAGCAAGGAAGGATAGATAAAGAGAAATAATAATTGTGGTTAACTTACCCTCACTAATGTGATCTCCTCATACTGCCACTGTGTGTCTCTGTTGTTTGGTATCTGTGAAATTTAAAAAAAGAAAGAGAGAGTTAAAAAGAGAGAGAGAGAGAGAGAGAGAGAGAGAGAGAGAGAGAGAGAGATAGAGAGACAGAGAGAGACAGAGAGAGAGAGAGAGTTAGAGAGAGATGACAGATAGAGAGATAGAAAGAAGAGAGAAGGGAGAGAGAAAAGAGAAGAGTCAGAAGATGATATATTGAGAGAGAGAGAGAGAGAGAGAGAGAGAGAGAGAGAACAATCTTTAGATCAGAGGCACATCAAAAGTAGTGCA